CCGAAGAACATGGAGGAATCGAAGGTGAAATTCGAGTACAAGCCGACCTTCACTGCACAGTCGAAGAGGAAACAAGAGCGGCAAGATGAAGGACACGGCGAGCAGGATGCTTTTGGAAAAGCCGATGCCGGTGATCAACGTCTTCGATGGTATACGGTCACGGAGCTCAGCAAGTTTATCTGCGAACTTTGCGCTAAAGAGATGCAGATGAGCAAGTCGAAGGTGCTCGGACCGAAGTCGAAGTACAATCCCTCTTCTTGCGTGAACTGTTGCGCAAACTGGAACGCGGACACGAACGGTATTGCAATGTCTATCGAGGGGAAGAAAATGTACACGCGCCTCTTCGCGGAATGCGTGGTGGCAATCCCTGACCTTCAAAACCTCATGGTGGACGTCAACAATATCCAGGCCATGATCACGATCATACGGGAGCTCGCGTACTCAAGGCTGAAGAAGGAGCTTTCTCACGTGGGATTCGTGAGCATGACTGTGGATCAAGCAGCGCAGTTCTACAACACCGGTCACGGGAAGCAATTGTGCGCATCCCGGGATGTGATCGTGGGCAAGAATTCCGAGGGAGTCGAGGAGAGGATGTCCATCTTCTTGATAGGCAAGGATCTTGGCAATGTGGCATATTCGTCCTGGATCAAGAGTGTGCTCGACCAAGTAACGATGTATGAACTCCTGGGACAAACCACGAACGAGGAATCCTTGGGAGACGTCGTCGAGATGGTGTTGGGATTCTTTGAGGTGATGTCGTACTTCCAGCACGAACTGCCACTGTGGAAGGATGCATGGAAGATCAAGAGGGAGTTCGAGCAGTCAATAGTGCTACACCTCGCTGGGAACGTGACCCACACGACGGGCCAGAACAGAAAGCGGAACAAACCGTCCGCACAGCTCGGCGTGCCCACGAAGGAGGTGCTTGTCATGACCCACACGACGGGCCAGAACAGTAAGCGGAACAAACCGTCCGCACAGCTCGGCGTGCCCACGAAGGAGGTGCTTGACATCATGAACAAGGTCAAGCCCAGACATCCACGATCCCTGCTCACCGAGCCCTCTGCACAAGGTTCCAAGAGAAAGGCCACGGAGGGCGAAGATGAGGGTCTTGGTCAAGCACCAGACCCGAGTCGAAGTTCTCAAACCCATACTGAGAAGGAAGACAAGAAGCAGCGAGTGATCGACGGGCGGAGAGCGGCACTAGGATTCCTGGAGTCAATGGAGAAGTGCATGGGAGATATGGGGATCTGTAAGAAGTGCGCGAACCTGGCCCACGACGGCGACTGCAAGGACATTGAGGAGGCTGCTGGAAATGAGAAGGCGATGAAGGTGCTCCGTGAGCTACTCAGCAGTGACCCTGTTTCATCTGATGAAGACATGGGGGATACGGAGGAACCGTCCTCATCAACGTCCAAGGAAAGAAAGAAGGGGGACAAGCAGGGAAAGAAACAATTGAGATGTACAGCTACACTATTAATTTGGTGGAGATGGCTGACACGGCTGAGGGAGGAGAGCTACAATGTGGTGGCGTCGACCTCACCTACAACCCGTGCGGGGACAGCAGGACATTCAAGAAGACGCTTGAGATGGGATGCGACACCATCCCGTGCTACATCCCGAAGTATGGCGATGTGAGTGATGTGCACTTGCCATGGGCGTATGCGTCCATCGTTGACCCCAAATACTTTTCCAAAGGTGCAATCCTTGAGCAAGTGGACGTGATGCAACTTGGCAAGAGTGTCAACTTCTGCATTGCTCCTTTCGACGGTGCTCCACTATGCAGGATTGGTGATGATCGCTCGGTATTTACTACAAGGGACCAAGCAAACCAGCTATCTCACGACCTATGCAGAGTCCTTCGACACAAGATCGGCAATTGCCGAGGAAGTGCTTTCAGGTGCGACGAGGGTGGATGGGTCGACATTGATGCTGTCATTGACGACCGGAACAACGACATATTCCCACCATACACCACGAGAGCGAAACGATACATGGGCATCATGGAGGTGATCAAGTGGCAGGAATCCGGAAGCAAGAAATCGAGATTCCAGGTTCTGGCAGCAAGGTTTCCGAGCATCATGAACCCGAACGACACGAGGGCAGCCAGGGAGGAAATGACCAAGGCTGGCGTGGATCGGGACGACATCGACAGGATGTTCAACAGATGCGATGGATGGTACAGACCTTGGTGCATCCGAGTCACAACCGGTCACAGTGATTTTGGATTCATGAGCTCATCCGCACTGGCGAATAGGTATTCCGCAAGAATGGGTGATACTCTCGGAGGAGCATTCCATGTGACGTATGTGGAAAACCTGCCAAGCATCGTACGCTGTGGGCTAGTCCCCGGCGGAATCGATGGCGGTAACAGGCTAGCACTGCACTTCGGGGCGTTTGCTCCATGGGATGAGATGAACGTGGCGACGAAGACAACGCTACGGAACGTGAGGAGAGGGGATCCGATTGCGATCATCTATATTCCCAGTGCAACCCTCGCGCGGTATGGGGCTGGAGTCGCGGCTAATGGGACTTTCATGGTCTTTGACGTGATCCCGTTCTATGAGGTCAAGTCCATTTGGATTGGCAAAAGCAACGGAGGGAAGCGCCTGGAGTACGCTGACATCAAGAGGGCGTACTCGAAGTGTGTGGAGAACGAGATCTGCCCTGGCTTTGTCAACTCTTCCCAAGAGTCGGCTGCGATGTTCCTCCAGAACGTCGCAAAGATCAGCGAGAGGATGCCGGAGACTGAGACAGGTGCCGATAATCTGCACTACATCGTTGACATGGTTAATCGTGCTTGCGAACTCTATCGAAACAACAAGATGGAAGAGTTCAACGCACAGGTCAACGAGGTCCGGGACGAAGTCAGCAAAGTCGTCATCCTGAATGATGAGACATGGGAAGGACTGAGGTGCCGGATATGTCCATCATGTGGTAAGAATGTTTGAGGATAACTGGGTCCTTCATGACGTGGGGGATGTTTGAAGGTGGTGAGGAGAGAACGATGAATGCCGGACTCGAAGGGAATCCGGGCTGCCCTTATCACAATGATTTCAAGAGGTACCCCAACATCACTGAGCATGATCAGGAAGGTATACTTTTGCCATCAACAATAACGAAGATTTCTCAATCGGAGAATGTTCGGACAAGAGCCTTCCGATCGGTTGAGGAGCGTGACGAATATATTCGTATGATGGTGTGCAAATGCGAGGGACTTTACACATTCTACAAGCTGTGGATTGCAGCAAGAATCCTCGATGTCACCAAGGAAGAAATGAAGCTCCTGGTCAAGGACCGAGTGCACCCGGTGGGTGATATTATTTTCAGATGTTTTGCACTAGCTTTCAACTGTAAGTATATATCATTCGTGAGGGATGGCCTAAACCTTGGCAAGACATGGTTACACGGTCAACGTGAGCGCCATCATCTCGGCCATCGACCCGAACAAATGCGACACACCCCTGCTGGATTGGTGCCTTCGGAAAGGGCACTGGTTGCCAGAGGACTACAACAAGAAGTGTGTCCGGGCACGAGAAGCCCAGAAGAACTTGGACGAGGAGTTCCGCCGACGTACCCATAGGCTGTCCATTGGGGACAGGTATGCTTCGTGAAGATGATGATTGCGGTACGATGTGGGCCAGTCCCCATCTGTTACTTGCGTCACATCGACACTGTTTCGGTGGAACGACTTATGTCATGATTTATATTCATGTGTCCAAGATGATTGGGTGTGTACATGGTTACATATTCCGATGACTATGACGCTCTGGATATTCATGGATGGAACTATTACCTTATAGATGATATCTTTTCATTATTTATGCATTGTCCATGGTATCTGGAATGGCTATGATTTGCATTGATTACTCACCGATGTTTCTTTGCCGGAGATATGCAGACCGATCACAAGCGGGCGCGTCTGGTGGACTTTTGTGGCCAACCCATTTATGGATGACAGCTGCGCGATGCGCAAATGCGGCAGCTGGAATGTTCACTGGCGGTCAAGTGAAGTGGCCACAGTGTATTATATACACCTGCATATGGATGTGTGCTTCGATTGGAGGATGAATGTTTCACTTTTCGTACAATCGAACCCGGCATGTTTCACAGCGAATGAACGGTGTAGTGATAGCAAGTAAAAGAATGCACGACACGATTTCGTAGTTGAAGCCGTGGCCAGTGGAACGTTTTGTGGTGTTTGGACCGCATGATGAACAATGCGACCCAAATGGGGGATGTTAAAACCCTCTAGGCCCCGTGCCGAAATTGGGTAGCTGTTCTGAGGTCCTTGTTGGTGTTGCTTCCCAAGTTCCATTGATCGCCATTTGGCTCAAGACACAATTGAGGTTCAAGATCTGATGTGTGACTGCAGACCTACGTGATCGGCATTAAGAGCGAAAACAACTGCTTGCGCTGCATTTGTCAGGACTACTGTTGTAACTATCATTCCTTCTTCCTTACAACGTTTACACGGGTTCGGCTATAACGGCATCGTCCGTATACACCTTTCTACGTGGTTGGTATTAAAGCTTGAGGGTTCGGTGCGCAGCGTCCCACGGGACGTCACCTTGCCGTCTCTTGACACCTATCCAGGGCAATCCGATTCCATCCGATGTTGGAACACGTTTGGCAATTTGCCTTCTTTTCTTTCTCAGTTGCTTGTTGTTTGGTGTGTTATCAGGAGTGGGAGAAGCTCGAAAATTGCCAGGAAGAACAAAACAACAACTATGTTTACGGTGCACTGGCCCTTGTTTTCAGCCACACGTCCACTTTGCCAATGCAAACTCAGTGCTGCTATGAACAGGCCTTTGCGTTTGTGGCACTTTATGCAACAGACGTCGTCTCCACAATTTCTTCGTTTTTCCCCTCCCTTGCCGCGCGCCATTCTAATGCCCAAATTCAGGGGAAACGCTGGAGGGCTTTACTTTTTGCGAAGCTTGCAGCTACACACGTCAGGATGAGTTTTACCATGCATGCCAGTTGACTATGGCCCGTTGAAGCCATTGTGGCTCCGGAGAGGGGTTGCATTGGCAAGTGTGCATTTTCCTCCATCGAATTGGCTATAGTTGGTTCACTGAGCAACTTGGTGGATTGCGAGCATTGGAAAGCTAAGGATTGAGCGTGAATGCAACCCACTTTATACGCGGTATATACCCTTTTGGGGAGAGGGGTATGAACACCAGCACGCCTTTTGGGTTCATTTGTCCAAGGGGTATGCAAAAAGGGGTATGTACCTTGGCACCCCTGGAACGATGTTATTGCGAGTCACTTGAGGTATGCGACTTCTTGCCGTGGTGGTGCTGGATCTACTCCTGCGCGTTTCGGCGGACCTGGCCTTCGTGGCTGCCCCAGCGCAGCGGGTGGATGCGCCCTACGCGAGAAGCGTGCCCGCTCCGGAGGGGAGGACCAGCTTCTCAAGTCAGGCAGTCGACCAGCGAAGTAGCAGACATGTATTCGTGTCGCCCGCTATGTGAATGCAAAAACTTGTGTGTACGTAGATGTTACATGTTCATAAGATACAAACAATCAATGATCAATTTGGGTGCATTCCAGTTTGTTTGCTGGCTTGCTTGCTTTATTGTGTGCGTCTCCCTTGTTGTCACATGTTGCAGGCGAGCACCACTGGTGCATTTCTGCTTGGTGCCGCTCTACTAGCCGCGAGCCGACGTCGAGCTCGCACCTCCAGAAATGTGTGGACCTTTTATCCAGTAGACAAAGACCAGGACACGAGATTGTACATGAGCACATTGACAGGGTTGATTTTCTCAGAGCGGATATCAACCAAGCACAGACATTTTTCCGACCCCAAGCACAGCCCAAGCTTTTGATTTGTTTCGATCCGCGCAGGAGTGTACTTGGCCTGGCCTTGCTGATGATGCAGAGGGCCCGCGCTGGAGAAAGCATGTCAACCTGAGTCGATCAACATTCAAACCCTATGGTCGCAGCGTGAAGTACATGAAGCAGCAGAAGATCCTGCGGTCGCACAACGTTTGGTGGGCAAAATATGGTGCCTGGCACACGGAGGTGAAGAACCCATACTCTCGCAACATGTACCAGGCTCCGGAAAGGCATTAGCATGCACCGCGAATTTGCTGCACCTTGCAGGGAAAGCCTGAGAATCCAGACTTTCCGTCTCCGACCACGGGCATCCCTGCCCTCAGCGGCCTCAAGCTCAGTCGGGTAGGCACAATCCACCGTCTCCTTTCAAATTTCTTGTGATTGGTTTGGTTGTTTTGCAGCCATACTCCAGCCTTTGGTTGCCATATTTTTCGCGTGGTTGAGAAGCTACCTTTGCACCTTGGAAGGAGGGAACGCCTTGGAGTTCGGAGAGCGATCAAAGATTTTAGCGCATTTGCCAGGACATGGCAAGGAAGTGAGTCGGGGCACAAGGGGTTAGCACTTGTCGCATGACCTGGCAACCTGCGGCTGGTGGAAATGCGATTTCAGCTTCTTCTTTTGTTGCGACCTCTCAGGGCATCACTTGACTGCAAAAAACGAGGGTTTTCCAAGTGCTTTGCGAGGCAGAGTGGAAGCTCCGAAGCCATTCCGAAACTAGACCACTCCAGTGTGCGGCTTTCGAGGGCATGTGAATGGCACCAACCATAAACCGAAGAAAGTCCACTGCCATGCTTCGAGCTAAGATAGTACAGTTTCCTTGCTCTGACATGTTTGTTTGTTTTGCAGGGCACAAGGATCTTAGTTTCTATCACTCCCCAATCCCGATGTGATTGCTTGCTGTCAGCTGATGATTCGTCGTTTAACATTCTTCAAACAGCAGGAGGCGACCTTCGGCTTCCCTCACATGATATATATATATGTATATATATATATGTATATATATATATGTATATATATATATGTAAATATGCACATTGTACATATATATATATATAAACATGCTTCTGCGTGCGCGTGTTGTATGTATTCTTGGTGCGTGCGCGTTGAGCCACTTTGGATCATATTTTTTCATTTCGTTTTCCATAGTCTTTTGCCTTCCACCGTGCTGGCTGGACAACAATAGAAGGAAGCAAGGTGACCAAGTCTTCTTGCCACTTTATGTGGGATGCCCATTGCGTTTGACCCGGATGTCCTATGCAAATGTGTGTGTGTGTGACACTGTGAGGGCTTGGGCTTGACCTGTATGGAATGAGAGGTGTTATTTTCAGATAGCATTCACTTGACCAAAGCTTTAGCAGATCCTTGTTGCCCCAGGCTGGGCCCCTGCTGCTCTAGCCAGCTCTGCTCCGCTCGGGCAGACGGGCTCAACCTTCGTGGGCGGCAAGCGAGCAGCTCCTGGGTTGAAGCTTAGCCGTTAGGCAGTGGTTTATCACCCTTTGCTCTTTTGCTGAGGAATGAGCCCTTGCAATGGCTACGGCCCTTTGAATTTAGCAGTAACCGGGGGGTAAACTGGGCTGAGGTTTAGGATTGCCAGAAGCCCTGGCTGCATGGTGATGGTGGGTTGCCTTGCTTGGAGTGTTTAGGTCTTCAGGCCCTTGTCGTCACGCTCAGCACTGATCCTTCATGCCCACAAGAAGGCGGGCTCCGAAAACTCGCGACTTGGGACTGAGTGGCAGATGATGTCGTCACACGTGTTGCATGTGAATACTGGTAACACCTCCGACGCTGGGTGCGCTTTGCCAGCCCGCATCTTCGACCAGGCTGCGGCCAGTACCAAGAACCAGGGACACTCCCGCAACCCGCACTTCTGGGGTGTGTCTTGGAGGCAATGAGGCGCCAAGATGAGAGAGCTTGTCGGGATATCAGAGAGCTTAGGGACCTAAGACAACTAAGAAAAGCTGTTGTAAGATGGCACGACTCTGACTCTGTCGCAACATGGGTACCCTCCACACATGATGTCTGTTTCCTGGGCGGAACGATTTTTTTTCCACCAGAGAACGGCCACTTCGGCATCGGAATCTGAATTGGACGTGGCGCAAGCCCCGAGCTAGGCCGAGCAATGCGGGCGTGGCTCAAAGAGAAGATGTAAGAGCCATCAAAACCCGGGTAGATGAAGGTTAGCAAGGGACAATCCCCTATAAATAGCTTCGGATCTCCGGCTTCTGAATTCTTGAAGCATGGTTCTGGGAGTGCGACCATGTGAATACCGGGTTTTGGGTTGACTCTGAAATGGCCGTGGCTTCTGGTCGCTCGGTGAAGGCTTTTTGCCCCTTCTCTGGACCCTGGAGCCTAGAGTCGAGCTGGATTTCGGCGGGCGAGGGCTGAGATGTGCAAAGCGTTCAGAGCTGGTTGCACGTGGCACGCGCTGGCGCTCGGGCTGGACTAGACCGGACGGAGTCTGAGCGTGGCTGGATGAGCGCGTGGGTCAGGTGCCAAAGCAACGGCCTGGGGAGGCTTTGGCAAGGTCCCTATCCAAAGGGTGCACGCAGCTGGTGGAGGGCGACCCTGGACTGCGTCACGGCTTGTCTTTCACACGTCACGGCGCCATTGAAAAGCTACGATCCTGGAACTCTCAGATTAGGGGTCATGTTACTGTTTTAAGCTCAACTGGCCCCGCATCCTTGCTTGGATGCTTCTGTACCAACTGCCGCACATCACCTTGGATCCTTCGCACGGTGCTTTGCACATCTTTTGGAAGATCTTTTAATCGGCCTTGACACCTCTCAAAATGTGTCACGCCTGTTCCCGCTTTGGCCACAAAGCTTGCAGAACTCAACACATACCGACCATGGTTTCGAGGCATCCTTGATCTCAAAACTGATGAAATTGATGAAATTGCAAAATGTGCAAATTGACAGGGGGTCGCGCATCAGAGTGGCGCGATCTAAATAGGGACCTGACCGGAGGGCTGAGGCGAATTTGATGGGCGGTCTGGATTTGTCTCAACCATTTGGAGCCCCCAAGACGAGTGGTTTCGTTTTGATTGGACCCATGACATTTGTTTGCACAACTGTTGCCCAAGGTGAAGGCTCTCAACGGCAAGGCAGTCAAGTGCCGGCAGTTGCTGGTCAAGCAGACACTCGGTCGCGTGTGCGGTGCATTCGAAAGTTGCTCGACGATTTGTTTGGCGTGAAAAGGAAACACCTGCAAGCAAACCACAGTAAGGGTTGCCATTTGGAGTCCCCGTTGAGGACCACCGAAGAATCACGCTTCCTTGCCAAGCCAGGTCTGAATGAGCTGGCGAATTGACAGGCGGATCGACTATGTTGTGCACGTTGCTCTTTGCCGCAGGCACTTGAACCTTGTTGGTGCGTTTGCAGCTCAGGAAAGGCATGAATTGGTATCCCGGAACCAATGTCATGCGATGCAAGAGCCTTGGCCAGCCAGAAGTGAAACTCACTTCCCCTGCTTCTGGACTTTTTGCTTTTTGGGAAGACCATTTAGTGGAACAGTTTCTGTTGTTTGGCCACTCCACTCAGAAAGTGAGGAAAGAACCGATCATCGTGTACCAACCAACCTGAGTTTTCGCGGTCTGGTTGCTGTCTTGCTCTCAGGAACGACTCTTTGATCTCTTTGCGGGATGGCATTGTGCAGTGGCGTGGTGACTACCGTCACAAGGAGGTGGGCTTGAAGCTTTCAATCGCCTACGGATTTCCCAGACCTGGCTCTTTTTCTTCCAGCGCCTCCAGCTTGGTGGCTGTGGTTGTCAAAACCAATGGTACAGTACCATTTTGGTTGGCAGGTGAATTCACCTCCCATTTTAGTCTATAGTGGTGGGGATTGGGATGTTCACTGGACTTTGGTACGTACGATTTGGCCAGGTGAGTGTGGTGCCGTGGGAATACGTCAACAAGAAGTGCTACTTCCACAACCCGGGCAACCTCGCGCCCAAGGTCTACGAGCCCTGGATGGGCAGCAACTTCTCTCGCCCCTCGACGGCCTTAGTGAGGGCTGAATCAGGGTTGTTTAATAGATGGGTCCGAGTTGCCCGATTCAACCATCTATTAGGAGGCCCCCCCAGGGGGGCCCCCAACAATCGCCACCCACCCACCGACCCACCGACCCACCCACCCACCCACCGACCCACCGACCCACCGACCGACCCACCGACCCACCGACCCACCCACCGACCCACCGACCCACCGACCCACCGACCCACCGACCCACCGACCCACCGACCCACCGACCCACCGACCCACCGACCCACCGACCCACCGACCCACCGACCCACTGACCCACTGACCCACCCACCGACCCACCGACCCACCGACCCACCGACCCTTCGAGCCACCGACCCACCAACCCACCAACCCACCGACCCACCGACCCACCGACCCACCGACCCACCGACCCACCCACCGACCCACCGACCCACCGACCCACCCACCGACCCACCGACCCACCGACCCCCGACGACCCCCCGACGACCCACCGACGACCCACCGACGACCCACCGACGACCCACCGACGACCCACCGACGACCCACCGACGACCCACCGACGACCCACCGACGACCCACCGACGACCCACCGACGACCCACCGACGACCCACCGACGACCCACCGACGACGACCCCCCGACGACCCACCGACGACCCACCGACGCCCCACCCCCACCCCACCCACCCCACCCCACCCACCCACCCCACCCACCCCACCACCCCACCCCACCCAACCCCCCACCCCACCCCACCCCCCACCCCGCCCCACCCCACACCACCCCACCCCACCACCTCACCCCACACCACCTCACCCCACCACCCCACCCCACCCCACCCCACCCCACCACCCCACCCACCACCCCACCCCAACCCACCCCACCACCCCACCCACCCCACCCACCACCCCACCCCACACCCCACCCCACCCACCACCCCACCCACCCACCACCCCACCCACCCACCACCCCACCCACCCACCACCCCACCCACCCACCACCCCACCCACCCACCACCCCACCCACCCACCACCCCACCCACCCACCACCCTGCACTGACCCACTACCCCACCACCACCACCCCATCCACTTCACCCACCACCCCCACCCACCCACCACCCTACCCCGTTAACCTCACCCCACACCCCCACCCCACACCCCCACCTCACACCCACCCTGCCACCCCACCCACACCTTCACCCACACCCCACCCCACCCCACCCCCACCCCACCCCACCCCACCCCACCCCACCCCACCCCACCCCACCCCACCCCACCCCACCCCACCCCACCCCACCCCACCCCACCCCACCCCACTCCACTCCACTCCACTCCACTCCACTCCACTCCACTCCACTCCACTCCACTCCACTCCACTCCACTCCACTCCACTCCACTCCACTCCACTCCACTCCACCCACCCCACCCCACCCACCCCACCCCACCCCCCAACCCAACCCCACCCCACCCCACCCCACCCCACCCCACCCCACCCCCCCACCCCACCCCACCCCACCCCACCCCACCCCACCCCACCCCACCCCACCCCACCCCACCCCACCCCACCCCACCCCACCCCACCCCACCCCACCCCAACCCCACCCCACCCCACCCCACCCCACCCCACCCCACCCCACCCCACCCCACCCCACCCCACCCACCCACCCACCCACGATGAGGTTTACTGTAGCTCTCACGACCCGGGGGCCTTTCACAAAGTCGGGCATTTTTCTACTAGCAACCTTTGCCTAGGGATCAAAGACTCACCGGATGCGAGGCTACTCCAGAAAGTGGCCGATTCGGGCGATGTACGAGGAGTGGAAGGAGACCGAAGAGGGCCAGGCCCATGTAGCCAAGAAGGCTGAGAAGAAGGAGAAACAGAAGGAGATCCAGCTGAAGATCAGGCAGGTTGATTGGGACAGCCTTGGGCAGGGGTCATTGCACTTCTTTGGGTTGCGATTGAAACTAAGCTGCCTTTGATTTGGGTGATGTTTCAAGGGATATGGCCATCGTTCAAAACCAATGGTACCATTTTGGGATAGGTGCACCACCCATTTTGGTCTATAGTGGGGATTGGGATGTTCACTGGGGGTACGGAACCAGGTTGTCTCATACCCTCCAACAAAATACCATCTTCGTTGCATGCTGCACAGTCCAGCGTACCATGTATGTGGAGCCTGCAGGGTTCCACTTTTGGACTACCCTAAGATGGACTTAAACCCAGCGGTTCTCCTTTTCGGAGAATGCACCATCCCTGGGTTTAAGTCTACGCTGGGGTTGTCAAAAAGTGGAACCCTTTGTGGAGCTACTTGTTTTGGGGCAGTGCCGATTGGCCGCTTGGCCAGGGCCAAGAAGAAGTGGCGCTTGGCAGAGAAGAAGAAGGAGAAGGCTCGGTGAGTGGAGATTGGCCGGGACATCGGCAGGTTGCCATCGCTTTGGTACTTACGGCTTGCAAGCTTCCATGCTTGTTTTTGGCTGGTTGATTGTTCTTAGACAAAGAGCAGACCGTCCACATTCTCGTGGCTCAACTGGCTTAAATAAGCCACAGTCCCAGTGTCGAAAGCATGCAGCCACCAGAACAGAGGGGCTACATGGGCTTTGCAGAGACGAGCGATGATGAGGAAGCCAGCCTACCACAACAATCATGCTGTATGGGTTCTTCTGCGAACCACGAGGACGAGACCCGATTTTCCAACATAGGTTTGATGGGCGTGGTGTCGCACGACGGAGCTGAGCATGTGACCGATGAGGTCTTCAATGCAGCATCTCATCTATTTGGCGGGTTGCTGTCTGTTTTGGGCTCAACAGTGCTCATCACGGGCGCTGCGGCGCAATCAAATGTTTGGGGAGTCATATCCTTCTCGTTGTATGGTGCTTCGATGGTGGCCCTCTTCTTTGCGAGCTTTGCGCACCATGGGCTGAAGGGTTCCAAGCGTTTGATGGACATTTTGCGAAATTTGGATTATGTTGCCATCTACTTTCTCATTCCTGGGACGATGATGCCGGTTTGCTTCGTGTGCCTCCACGATTCGTATCTGGGCTGGGTCTTCTTTGGCACCAGCACCGGACTGGCGCTCGTTGGCGTGTTCTTCCAGACCATGTGCCCTTTGGAGTTTCCGATGTGGGCCAGCATGACGATGTACCTCACCTTGGGTGGCTTTGGCACGTTCCTGGCCTTGCCAGCTTACCACTGCGTCCAGTTCGGAGGTGCAATGCTGCTACTCCTGGGGGGTATTGCGTACTCGGTCGGCGGGATTATCTTCACCCTGCAATGGCCCAACCCTGTTCCCGGCAAATTCGGGTTTCACGAGATTTGGCATGTTCTCGTCCTCGCAGGAGCTGCGTTCCACTACTGCACAATGTTCTTCTACGTTTACCCGTTCATGGGAGAAGGTTCTCCCGCTCAATCCCAAAGATAGACTGACTCTGACTTGGATGCGGAAAAAAGGCGCCAGTGCCAACTAAACAGGAGCAGCTGCTCTCTTGATTCTCTAATTGTATGTTTGTGGGTTAGGCCGGGATGAGAGGTAGATGGGGTTGGGGGCCAGATGGTGATGATTGAAGCGGAGATAGACAAAGTGAGTTGCTTAGCCTGCCTTGAGCCAGGTGGCAGCGGGAGACTCCGAGAGTGAGGCGGAGTGAGTGACGCGCAGTGCAGCCGCACCGAATGCCAAGGGAGCTTGAGACGCGAACAGACCGGAAGCGGGCTGAGGAAGTCATGGGGCAAGAAGGTATGCCAGAGGTCCCTTGCCACGTTGAACCATGGCACAGTGGGTCCCTCCAAAATGATGATCTTCCAGGTAGCTCACCAGAAGTGCTATAGTGGGAGGAAGGGTACTCTTTGGTTCTATGTGTTAGCTTCACAGAAGCACTGAGAACATGAGCCTGTTCCTGCGAACAACGTAATGAGTTCCTGGCGCGGTGCCTGCAAGCAAGATTTTCGGCCGAGGCGGAAAACGGTTGCGGAAGAGACGGAGCTTGTTGCGGCTCGAAGGGCGTGCACCTGCACATGGCGCCAACTTGGCCGTCTCGTTCGTTTCGTTGGTTGCAAGCGGAGACATGTCTGCTCATCCAGGAGTCCCGTGGCTAGCAAACGTCGTCAACTCCACTCAGTTCAGGCGAGTTGGGTGGTAAAGCACCAGCATCTTTTGTCATTTGCATGTCCCAGCGTGAGCTCACAGAAGATGAAGCGTGTATTTGCAGAGCAACACAAGGTAAGCATGACCTCTCTGTGTGCTAAGCTGGCCGTTTGCTTTGGCATCCCGCGCTGATGGAAGCGGCCACATCGCCTTCGAAAGAGGACTGTGAGAGTAAGACCCCGAAGACCTACAAGGGGGCAGGGTACTTTGTAAGTGGTTAGTCAGCTTGGTTATAACTCACTTACCATGGTGATAAGTCTCCTTTGTGGGTTATAACCAGGCTCACTAACCACTTACGAAGTACCCTGCCCCTGTCAGTAGCGGTTTCTGGCTCGACCTTGGATGCTGAATTTTGAGAAGTACCAAACACGACGAGTGGGCCCATCAATCTCCTTGTTTTCTGTCCACAGTTTAATGGACATTCTTGATATCCAGGAAGCGCCGAGCACTCCTCGCTCGCATCCCTTGAAGAAAGGCTGGCGGCTCAGACAATCTCCAGTGCCGTGAGCGTCAAACAATCCTCATTGCATCCTCACAGTTCCCTTGGGGCCAGTTCTACGCACGTCAAAACTCGAGACTTGTACCCTCCCCACGTTGCCATTGCACCTGACAGGGGGTCCATTCAAGAGGAATTTGATCTTCCAGGTACCTTCCCAGTGCCTTGTGTTGGGCATCGCTCTTTTCTTTGCAGATCCATCTCCATGGCTGGTCAAAAATCGAAGGGGTAGCCCCAGATTGGCTCCGGGCAAATGGAAAACCAGTGGTCCAATTCCTGACAACTAAAACCCAGATGGAAGGTGAGTAAGGGGCAGCCAGAAATAGGTGCGGATCTCCGGCTTTCAATTTCAAGGATTTGGGTCGTTTTAAATACCGATAGGTTGGATTGCGACTCATTCCGACCCATGTTTGTTTCCGGCCCATGTTTTTCTTCAAACGGTCCAAAAGCTCCAAGCTTTGTTGGTCTCAGAGGCTCGCCTCGGGATCACTGGCGCCTGGAGCATCCGGAGCAGCGGGTGCTGGAGAGTGGGCTTACCGCCCTGTTGCTTGGATGGAGAGTCCATGATACCTACCCGGGGAAGAGGGGTGGCGGAGTGGGGTGGGGGGTGGGGGGGTGAATTAAAAAAGGAAGGAACCCGGCGGGTGGGGTTGGGGGGGGGGGGGGTGAATTAACCCCGAGGTTGGGGAAATGAGCCCTTTGGGAAACTGGTCCAAACCAGGCTTCAGAAAAAAAAGGCCTTGAACGGCCATCCATTGGAGATGTGACAACTGTGATAGTTCGTTTGGGGTTCCGGACATGAGGTTACATGGGGGATGAGCTCCAATGTCTTGGCCACAGCAGACACGCCCCAATTTTTCACGCTTCCCTTTATAAAAGACAACTCATTCCTAAGGACACCTTCTGCGCAAGGTTCTAAGAAACTTTCCTGAGCCAGAAGGGGGGAGGCAGGGCCTTGTGGGTGTGTTGTTGTTTTTTGGGTTTCTTTTTGGGGCAAAAGGTAAGTCAGAGGGACCTTCCCCAGCAGTACACCGGAACTTTGGATCGGTTTTGACACCTTGACAAGTGTGGGCTCCCATGGGCGAATCTTCTCGTTAATGACTTCTAGGAAGCCCAGAGAGAAGCCAACCATTTTGAGCTTTGCACTGTAGGAATCGTCAAACGAGAGGAATCCTGCTTGAGTGAGGAATGCGAACTAAGTGAGGCGCCTGAGGGGTACAAGCAGATTAAACAAAACGTTAGGTCCACCTTACCACGTTTGCACCACTTGAGCTGCGCAAGCTATTGTGTCTATTCATGGAACTAGAGGTCACGAAATTTTGGGCCTGCCCGTTTTTGCTTACGGCCGGAAACGCTCCATTTCGGTTGGTTCTCCAAGAGCCGTTGCATGTCTTACAAGGTCCGAATCCTGTTGACTGACTTGAGCCACTTGCCCGAAAACCGGGTTGAAGTTTGGTAAGGGACTATTCCCGTGCCATAAATGGGTGCAGCTGCCTCTGTTATCCTTTACATTCCGGGTAGACCATTTGGGTGTGTCAAAATAGGAGACCAAAATGGCTTGCCCGGCAACTGCAAACAAGAACTAAAACCTGCGGTCCGATTCCTGGTGCCCGTGGAGGGACCCCTCAGACATGGCAATGTGGGAGAGAGGGGAACTATTCCAACTCCAGAAGTGATGATTCCTCACTAAACCCAGGTTGACACCCCATTCACAAACAGGGGTTGATGAATATAGGGTCAACATTACCCATTTTGATGCCAGGTTTTGATTGTGACTCACTCAGGAGGACCGCAGATTTTAGCCCTTTCCATTCGGGCAAGTTCCATGTTGGGGGCCACCAGAAACAGATGGCACTGGTTTAGGTTTGTTTTATTCCATTGACCAGGGGCATCCATTTTCCCAAAAAGCACACCTACACGAGGTTTTCCCCCGGCATTTCCGGCGCAAAAAAAACATCGCCCAGGAAGCAGCTCCAACCCGCGGAGGGTTTGCAGCGCTCGGGGTCCATGGTGCTGCGGGCCTCCTTCTTCGAGCGGCTGCTGGGGGGCCACGTGGAGTTGCACCTGGGCGAGAAAAACCCAACGGGTTTTTGGAGGCCATTGGTTTTTGGAGGCCTGTTTGTTTTTTTGGAGGCCATTGGTTTTTTGAGTTTTTTTTTTGAGGCCATTGGTTTTTGGAGGCCCGTTTTTTTTCTTCTTTTTTTGGAGGCCATGGGTTTTTGGAGGCCTGTTTTTTTTTGGAGGCCATGGGTTTTGGAGGCCCGTTTTTTGTTTTTTGGAGGCCATTGGTTTTGGAGGCCCGTCGTTTTTTTTTTTTTTGGGAGGCCATTGGTTTTTGGAGTCCTTTTTTTTTTGGAGGCCATTGAATTTTGGAGGCCCGTTCTTTTTCTTCTTTTTTTGGAGGCCATTGGTTTTTTGGAGGCCGTTTTTTTTTGGAGGCCATGGGTTTTTGGAAGCCTTGTTTTTTTTTTTCGAGGCCATGGGTTTTTGGAGGCCCGTTTTTTCTTCTTTTTGTGGAGGCCATGGGTTTTTGGAGGCTTTTTTTTTTGGAGGCCATGGGTTTTTGGAGGCCCGTTTTTCTTCTTCTTTTTTTGGAGGCCATTGGGTTTTTGGAGGCCTGTTTTTTTGTTTTTTGTTTTGGAGGCCATGGGTTTTTGGAGGCCTTTTTTTTTTTGGAGGCCATGGGTTTTTGGAGGCCCGTTTTTTCTTCTTTTTTTGGAGGCCATGGGTTTTTAGAGGCCTGTCTTTTTTTTGGAGGCCATTAGTTTTTGGAGGCCTGTTTTTTTTTTTTTGGTTGTGGGGCCCAAGAGACGAATTGTTGGTTGCCGTTGTTGAATTCTGTCGTCTGTTTTTGATTTTTTGAATAGAGCACAGTGTCCCGAATTTGCTCTTCAAACCCAGCTGCCTTCCTCGTCGGTCGCCTTGACGATGAGGGAGGTGGATTGCAGGACTTGATTGCGACTTGACTATGGGTCAACATCAAACCACTAGAAGACCGCAGGTTTAGTCCTTATGTCCATTTACCAGGGTTCCATTTTGGGCACACATTATTGACCCACAGCCACTTTGCAGTTGCAAACCTTTGGATCCGCTTTGAGCAACCGGACTTGGTCTATCATGAAGGCCCTCAATCCGAAACCTTCATGAGCAAAGCTCTGTTTCTTTTTTGTTGTTGCAAACATATGGACATCGTGAAATGCCAGAGAACGAGAAGCGCATCGAATACCCTTTCCGCAACCACCAAGCCAAGCCCATAGCCGAAGGGCTCACACACTTGATTCCAGCCACTCCTCTTTTTTTGTTTGCTTAATGCACTGACTGGATCCCGGACCCTCCAATGGGTAATGTGAACCACGCCTAACAAGTCCTTGGGGAGATCCAAAGGTGGCACCCTGAGAAGCCGAGAAAGCTGAGGAAAGCTTGCCCGGCCAACGATGTGGCGGCAGCTCAAGGCACCCTGGCCGCGGTGCAGCGAGACCTATTTATGGGGGAGGGGAGGGGGAGGGATCCCAAATAAGCCCGAAATAAGGCCTTAATAAGGGCTTAATAAGGGCTTAAATAATGGTTGTTTTGGATCCGTCTACCCTCCCTCCCCCCCAGCCCCCATGACCTAGCAATGTGGCTGTGGGTCAGAACCAATGGGATCCCATTTTGGGGTAGGTGAATTCACCACCCATTTTAGAACCTATTTTAGTGGGGATTGGGATGTTCACGGAGGGTACGGGAGTTTGACCCATGGCCACTTAGCCATGTAGACTTGTAGACGCAAGCAGGTGCTTGGAATCTAGGGCTGGATCTTGAAGTCAAGATGCTTACCATCTCCGGTATGCACCCATGCTTAGCTGCATGTACACTGGTCAGATTGTTGAAGACGTCTCTGTCGACAAGCTTCACATTTTCATGGAGACACTTGGTTTACTACGAGAGAGTCCCGATCCAAGCGCGGTGTTTGTGCGCCAGTTTCCTTTTCACATCACAAAAGGTTAGGTTGTTTCCTATTTTGACACTTGCCAATACGTTTGGGGGCACAGCTTCGATGCAGGAAGCTGGAACAGCAGTTTTTCTTCATGTTTTCCCTGTGGGTCCGGAGCATTCGTCCTTTTTCGGTCGCCTCTTTGGTGCGCCCATTCCATTTGGATCGACAGAATCCAACCAGGTTCATCCCAGATCTCTAGGAGTTCATCCATCCCAACTTGTGTGGATTCGTTCGTACCAATCAATGGTCAGGCACCTGAACTCCCGCCAGTCCCATGAGTGCTTCCAAGTAAGTGACCCCAATTGTGGAATCCGAACGCGCTCCGCGTTGCGAGGTGAATTGTCGCCATCTTGGTGGAAAAAATCCCCAACCAAGAAGACGCGCCCATTTGTGTGTCTTTTTTTGAGGGACCCCCCCAAAAAATGGCAAGGGTTTCCTTTTGGCCCTCCTTTGCCAACCCAAAAAGGGTACCCTCATCACCCCCCGCCAAAAAAGGAGGTGGGGGGGCCGCCAATTTCTCGGAGGGTCGCCGGTGCATTTTCATAGGTGTCCTTTTTGGTTGATTTGGTTGCAAAATAGAGGGCGATTCCTGGTTTACCTGGTTTAATCAACTACCAGAGAAACCCATCTATGTTCCCAAAAAGGGACACCTATGTCCATTTGGAGCGGGTCAAGAATAAGGTAACCCCAAACTGGCTTGCCCTGGAAAATGGGACCAAGGACGATTTAACCTGCGGTCCGATTCCTGGTGGTTTCTCATGGTGACCCACAAGCAAATCATATCTGTCACAGCGTTCCACTTGTCGACTACCCCAAGGTAGACTTAAACCAAGGGGTGGCTCATTCCCCCCAAAAGGAGAACCCCTGTGTTTAAGTCCATCTTAGGGTAGTCAAAAAGTGGAACCCTGGCTCCACATACTGAGTGGTTTTCGCGCGCCGAACGCACGGGCGGCAGGGGACCTGAAGAAGCTGGGCCTCCGGCAGCTGCTGGCGCTGCGGATCCTCACCAAGGGCTTTCCGACCACCCGCGTTGGCCGCTCGAGCGAAGAGTCAGATGTTATCTGTCACTGACTCATTCATGGCTATGGCACACACTTGAATGGCTACGGTCGAAGGCCAATAAGCCAATAGAAACTCAGTGCTGGAGATCAGAAGGAATTTGTGTCTGTTTTGTGTTTGTTTCTGGACCCATTGATCTCCATGCAACATGTTACTATTTTGGCTCAAGGCCTTTCATGTCACACCTGAGATGCGCATAGCTCACTGAGCCATTGCATCCGTTATGCAAAGGTGCTAGCGGACCACCACATAAAGATCCTCTACTTCCACAAGGTATCCGTTCCCTTCGCGGATAAGATACCCCTGGCACAGCAGGCCTCAGTTTGTGGTAGCGGAGCGGGTTTCCCGCAAGAGATCCAAACAAGACGTCGTCCGATGGAGAAGGCTTCATGGAGGCCTATTCAAGCGTAGGCTCCCATGGCTTCACTGAAGAGACGCTCAACTTATCGATGACCGCCAAGCAGCCGCCATTGTATGATGGAAAAGTCAGCTGGTTTAGATATGAAGAACTCGTAGATGATTGGGTGACTTTCAGAACACTCGTCAATCACAGAAGGCAGAACACTGAGTTTCCTCATATTCACATCAAAGTTTGAAATTCTCTTGATGAGATTGAAATGGACTTGATGCCTGTTCACACGGCACAGTCACCAAAGTTCATAGCATCAGTGCACGATGGCAATGCAAGAAGAATTGCCGCGCATCAGCAAGCAGCCGGCGCCCGCACCGCGCCTCCAGATCTGCTGTCCACAGACAATCGAGAAGTACTCAGACAGTGCCTCAATGGCATGCAGACAAGGCACAAGGACGCATTTCCCCTCAGCGACAATCTCAGTGCGCATTTCTTCATCATCCAGAGTGAGTTGAGACTGATCAGTGCAATGTCTTTGAGAAACATCTCGCTCAAGAATTACACCTACGAGATGATGAGTATTAAAATCTCTCCATATTAAAATCTCTCCATTACAACGAGACCATCCATCCAAGATCCATCCATCCGACCTCCAGGAGAAAATCGGAGTAACACCTTCTACATCCTAGAACAAGGGGAGTATGAAGGCGATGAAGGTTTCTGAGTGGAAGACGAAGATGGAGTTGAAGGACACATGGCGAATAATGATGCAGCGACTTTTTGTGTCGTGGGCGCAATTTCAGGTTCAAGAAGAGAAAAGGAAAAGGAAAACCAGGAAGCAAAAAGGGGAGTCACCAATGAGGTGGCTTCAAACCTTCAGAAAAAGTGGTTCCGGCGGGAAGGCCAATATGGCCAACGAAAACCAGGATCCCTACGACCAGGCATGTTGGGGAAAAGGCAAAGGAAAGAAAGGGAAGAAAGGAACAACAATATTCCAGTTTCCCTATGATGGAAACAAGGGTTATCCATCCTATGACAGTGGCAAAGGAAAAGGCGGACATGACAAAGGAAAACCCAAAACGTTCGCAGCCATGGCAGAGAATTTGGAGGAGCAATCCGCCAACTTGCACCATCCACCTACCTATGCCGGTTGGACAGACCAAGATTGGGATGCATCATGGAGTTGGAGTGAATCAGGCTGGCACTCATCACAAAGGACAAGTGATAATAGCATTCCATGACGCTTTTCAGCAGCATGAGAAAGAGGCCATCCACGAGAAGCTGATCCAAGACGATACAGTTTCAGAACAATTTTGTCCGTCGCAACTGGCGCCAGTCACCAACCCGCAGCACAATTTGACATATGCGATCTTGGACAACGGATGTACCAGATCCATGGGCAGCTGGCATGCAATCCAGCGTTTTACTCAGGCCATCGAACCATGAAGGACCTCATCTCCTACCAGTACATTCCGGCCAAGACCAAGTTCACATTTGCCAATGGAGAGACAGCTAAGGTTTATTGGGCCTTGCGTCTCAAATATCACACGACTCCTCCAGCCAGTACCAACATCAACATCCTTGTGTACCGATCCTCCGCAGCATCAGCCAGATGCGGAACCTCTACATGACCATCAAGCACACACCTGAATGTGACAAGATCACATGCAAGGCTCTTGGCATGAATCGTCAAGCGGTTGTCGATCTTGCTGGAGTGGCAAGAGTGAAATCACATGGAGAGATTGCTGCAAAAGGACTCACAAACTATGTCTACAATGATGACAACAACTTCCGAGGATTACTCCCAGAGAGAAACTGTTTGTGCATTCAAATCATCCAAGACAACAGCGGACACAGCAACTCCGAAAACCATTGGGTCTGTAAAGCAGCATCATTGGATACTCGACAAGAAGAACAAGCAGCTCATCCGTGTGCGCATCACGCCTCGCAAGGCGCTGTTCACACCAGCAGGAGCGAAGGAATGTCCAATCAATGCTGACAACATTAGCCGAGAACGTGCAACAGGGACCGTTGCATCCAAGGGCGGAGATCCAGACATCCTAGAAGACAATTGGAGCCTTACATCCCAGGCGAACAAACCAATGATCAACCTGTGGATAGGTAAGACCATTTTCACCTTCGCAGACAATCCGCTAAAAGATGAAGAATCAGGTTCAGGATCTGCAGCAGACAGGATCATCGACAAGAAAGGCCGGTCGACCATTGAGCCAGATCCTACTGCACCATCCGCAGACGAACCGACGTCGTTACCGCTTGCCTTAGGCAGAACCCACCAGCGATTGTGAAAGCCCGAAGAGTTGAAGAAGCTCCACCTTCAGCATCATCGCACGACTGCCGACCAATTTCGATTCAGGACACGCGCTCTTCACTTGCCGAAATCTACCTATGACTTATTTGACAAAACCCAAAGTGAGACCGGTCTTCAACACCTTCCACAGCAACATCAAGGGATGCAGGGCGGAGATCCAGGGGTGCCGTAGCGAGATCAAGGATCCGCACCCGTGCGACTTGCGCAGACGCTTTGTGAGGAGCCGTCCGACGCAGCGTCGCAACACGTACCTGGCGGGCGAACCCCCCTGATTATTCTCACTGTCAAGTCCCTCGTCGGAACCGGAGAACATATCATTGTTTTTGTCATCCTGGATGGAGCAATGACATTGCTCACTGCAGAGGCAGTGACAACCGCGCAAGAAGTGGAGCTCAGGAACTATTTTGACCAGTGCCACTTGCAGCCGAAATCAGTTGTTGGAGATCACGCCTTCATGACGGAAACATGGTAGAAATGTACCAATTCCTCAAAAAAGACCGATATGACCGAACACACCATGGCCGAATCGAGCTGAAGCAGCAGTTCGACTCCTGAAGGCGCAGTTGAAGATCATGCTGAGCTCCGTTAAGGCAGGCGCGGCGACTGCAACACTGAAGAAAGTGACATACCAACAACTTGTGAAATCAAGATTAAACAGTTGTCAAAACAAGGATTCCAAGAAGCTCGTCAATCCGAAGACATCCGCAGAGACCTTGGTCAGCATGTTCGAATGAGTTCAAAACCTCCACAGGTGAAAGCCAAGATTCGTTCCGACGGAAGCAAAGGAGGAATATGGTTAAGAGGAAAAGTCTTTTCTCTGGAAGGAGCAATGGTTGGAATCAACCTCCAAGCCATTACGCGTTGCTGGAAACACGATTCCCAAGCCTGCAGCACCAAGACCTGCAGAGAACATGGGATGTGACATCCTTCTTGAAGAGGCACGCTGGAATTGTGTACGAAAAGGAAAGTTTCACGTTCTCGAGATGTTTGCAGGAAGTGCCAGATTTAGTCAATGCTGTGCACTCACAGGTGTAAAGGTTGGGACACTAATAGACATCCGCAATGGATTTGACATGGTCATGGAGATCATCGCCCGATCTCAGCCTCATGGCACCAGTTTGTGGAGCATGGTCAAATATGCAGAACATCCAACAAACCAACAGAAGGTCTGGGAGAAGCGAAAGAGCTTCATGCCATGGTTGAATTCGTGGCACCCATTGCGCGCTATCAGCTGAAGCAGAAAAGATATTTCATCATCAAAAATTCTCAGACATCCAGGATCTACGTTCATTGCACGCAGCAACTTGTTTTCTCATTTCTGTGTACGGACTGAAAGATCCTGAATCCGGACTCAGATGCCACTCAGCCGAAATATGGGACGCGAAGACCGGTGTCTGACTCTGTGGAACAGGGTAGAAAGATCAAGCCATTCAGCAAGAAGCCGATCACATTCATGTTCTATGCTACTTACAACGACCAGATATACAGCATTCCGGAGCAGGAAGTAGGCCGGGGAAGCTCGACCCCACGGGACAGAATACATGTCCATCTTGCGAACATTGACGACGTGATCCTGCATTGACACATGCGCCTGGAGGACGAGGAACGCGCTGCATTACCCGAAGATACCATCGGTCCACAGAATCCTTGCGGCATATGATTCTGAGGGACAGGAAATGCAGACCAACTTCTGGATCATGAAAAGGACCAATCTCAGAAGAATGCGCCCACCGAGACCAAGAAAAGACGCGTTCCACTGACAGGGACGATGATGATGAGCCAGGAATGGAGCCCGCCAGGGAAAGAGTCGTCAAACACAGGGTCACGATACCTCAATCTTGACAATCTCGCCAAGTTCAACGAGGAATTCCAGCAGGTCTATCTCGACCGCGAAATGAGTAATGCTGAAGCAGAAGAAGAACTCAAGATTACCTTCACTTCATGCAAAGGTATGAAAAGAATCCTCAGAAGGTTCACAAGGACCTCAACCAGTGTGAGATTGATTCCCTGAGACACGTCGATCCTGACGAGCATGTTGACAAAGAGGTATTTTACTTTCGCCAGCGCAGCAACAAGCCATCCATGGAAGAGTACAGAGCTGCACAACCAGCATCCGGGTATCCGATTCGACTGCCATTTGGATTCCAAGCTCGAGATTGCCACTCATCCATGAACCATGGGAACCTCGCGAGGATTCCTAAGCTGCGCTTGTTTATCCTCTCAGGATACAAGGGCATTGGGTCTGCTAGACCCATCGCCTGTTTTGTCCGTGGCAATGAGCGCGCGCAGAGTCGAACTTTTGGCGCGGTACATCTCAACGAGATCCCAGAGCTGGGGAACCACATTTGCAATGTTCAGATGTTTCTTTGGCACCGAGATCGACTGCGTAGACCCGGAGTATGACACGCCAACCTTCGACTGTCTGGCGACGACAGGTCCTCATATGTCCAAGGAAAACCTCAAGCATTATGTCGGCGAGAGATTGCCACCACGAACTTGCATCCAGACCTGTGGACGCAACAAAGAAATTGTGGTGATTCAGATCGACCAGAGTAACGAGTTCCGAGGAGCACTTCCGAGTTCAACCAAGACTCCAAAGACGGATTATGACAGTCGACACGTTCTCGAGCCGGACTTCCACACGCAACAATTGGAGTTTCCCATGCTCATCCGAATATGAACCATGGAGCAGCAAGAGAGGATTTCCAAACCGGAATCATGCCACTTGTCACGACATACCAGTGTGACGCAACCCTTTCAGCCAATTGCAGTGAAAGTGGGTCTATAATCCGGAATTTGGATTCAGCAACCGCATCATGCAGACCTACCAGGACACATGGAACACGACAAGGGGGATGCCTATTGAAGAAAGAATGGATTACGCCATGGCTACCTCCTGCACGATGAAGGCAATCGTACGTCACCATCTTTACATGAAGACTGGTTCTGGATGTGATCGAACATTTCCGGATTGCATGATGACGTTTGTGCTTGGATGGGCAAAGACCGACATCCAAAATCGCTTTCGAAGATCCGTGTATGAGTCCATGACGAAAGGCGAAAGGAAGAAAATGCAGGACGAGACCGCGCTAATCATTTCCGATTGCCAGGTGACCTCAAGCGCATCACCAACGAGATGTTCCTGAATGGCACAAAACAAGACACCCAGAGAGCCAAGGAGTACAATCAGAAGAAGAAGGAGAATACCTGGGGAAGCTCATGGAGATACAACAAAGGTTACGGCTACGATCAACCTGGATGGAAAGGCTATAGTTCCTCGACTTGGTACGACTACGACCACTACAGCCAATCGGAAACGAGCAACCGTCCGTGGAAGCGATGAAAAGTTTTCAGAAGCTCGAAAAAGAGATCGCGCGAGAAAAGCACCACGAATGACGACCAATTGATCCTCACCATCAGCAAGATTATTCTGTGACAGGTCAATAGTTTCACAATGATCCTGCATGTACATAGCATTGTACATCATCTTTTGATACAATTAGGTATCCGCAATGAGTACAGAGTTTTCTTTTCCTTTTGCCAACAACGACATTTCATCCGCGCCAAAAAGGGATGAATACAGCATTTTCATTTTGACGAGATACCTATGTTATCTGTCACTGACAAATTCATGCCTACGGCACACACTTGAATGGCTACGGTCGCAGGCCAATAAGCCAATAGTAACTCAGTGCTGGAGATGAAAAACGAATTTTGTGTTTGTTTTGTGTTTGTTTTCCGGACCCATTGATCTCCATGCAACATGTTACCATTTTGGCTCAAGGCCTTTCATGTCGCTCACTGAGCCATTGCATCCGTGATGCAAAGGTGCTAGCGGACCACTTTCAGGATAAACCGCGACACACAGTTACCAGCACTTATCCAGTATCAGTCCATCAGTATTGACACTTGGAACTCTCCGGAATAGATCCAGGGCCACCACATAAAGATCCTCTACTACCACAAGGTATCGGTTCCCTTCGAGGATAAGATACCCCTGGCAGTGGGCCTCAGGGGGGGAGGGGGGGAGGAGGGGAGGAGGGAAAGTACTTCTGCCGGGACATGCCCGAAGTGGCCCGAAATGGTTCCAAGGATTGACCTAGAACATCAGGGAGGGGGAGAGGAGAGCGGGATGGAGTGAAGATGGAGCAGTTTTTTTTTCGAGCGGCAAGATGGTGTAGTTTGTTTTTTTGAAGGCAAGAGTATGGCTGTGGGTGAAAACCCATGGTACCATTTTGGGGTAGCTGCACCACCCATGTTGGTCTATTTTAGTGGGGATTCGGATGTTCACTGGGGGTACTGGATTTTGACCCGTGGCCATGTGGGCAGTGCGTTGTGGGGATCAATCGCCCTGGGCTTGGGAAGGAGAGAGTACCCTTGTTTGTTGGTTTCAAAGGGCAACCAAAAGGGGACCAAGCATTTTCTTGGGGGTCCCTAGAAGCAGACTCGCCCATCTGTGACAAGAATGCGTATGTACAGAGCCATGTTGCGCTTTAGCTTGGGGATGTTGGGCGCAGGCCAAGGATTGATGTTCCTTGCGGTCTCAGGTGCCTTCACAGTGCATAGCAACTTCCTGGCAGCCCTTTCTTCCGAACTGCTGGGTGCTCAGATGGAGAGATGTAGCACAGGGGCGAAGATGTCTCTATTGTGAGTCGGGCTTTTATGGCTCTGGTGCCCTCCAGTGGTTTGCCTTCTCAGCTTTCTGGCAGAAGGTCTTTGGATCAACCATCACAATACATTAGCCAACGGGGGTTCCCCTTTGAGATATCCCTCAAGCACTGGTGCAAGAAACGGGTCATGCAGGTTGGCATACCAAATAGCCGGAGACGGCCTTTTGGGAAGCAGCTGCAGTGGAAGGACGCGGTTCCAGGGCGGTTTTTTTCTTCGGGGATCCTCAAGTCTTTGATCAGGGGCTCCCCTTAGTTTGTGGTTTGGATCGGTGGTTTGGGGATTGAACCCCTGGTTTGCTAGATTTCACAGATCCCTGACAGTCAAAAGGGTAGGTGTCAAACTGTGACATGATGATCCGGGTTGTTCAGTCATTCTTTGGGGGCTCAGCCACACTTCCTTTTCTATCAATATGGGCAATCAGCGACCCTTTCAGACGTACCCCCGTCAAAAGTTTGTTAGGGGAAGTCTTGTAAAATATGGACATCCCACAATGAGCATTCCCTCCTTTACGGCGGACTCTCACTTACAAGTCAACCAACCCCAACCATTGGTGGTTCTTTCGTTTTCTTGCAGGACTGTCAAAAAGAGTGGTTTTCTTCTTGTTTCCCTTTATTGCCACGCCAAACACCCCCGGCTTGTCTCCGAAAAAGGGGGCCAACCACCCCCGGGTGAAGTCGCATTGGATTTCGTCCCGTCTCTCTTTCGCTTCGAGGTTCCATCGGATCGGCGCCCTGGCGTTGAAAGGCTCGGCCTCCGAAACCCCGCGGAGGAGGCTGGAGCAGATCGGGCAGCGCCTGGTGCTCTGCGCGGGCGCCCGACGTTTTGATGTTAATTGGGACTGGAGGGAGGCTTATTGACCTTGAGGTTGGGTTTTGGACTTTCAGGGAGAGGGTTTTGGACTTTCAGGGAGAGGGTCTTGTCCTTTTTTGCGCTTCAGGGGGATCGCTTTGTCTTTTCTTCTTTTTTTTTGATTCTCAGGGTTTTGGGATTTCAGGGAGAGGGCTTTGGTCTTTTTTTTTGTTTTTGAGGGAGAAGTGTTTGGTCTTCTTTTTGATTTTCAGGGAGAGGGTTTTGTCTCTTTCTGGTTTTTAAGGGAGAGGGCGTTGGCATTGTTTTTGATTTCAGGGAGAGGTTTTTGGTCTCTTTCTGCAGGGAGAGGGTTTTGTCTCTTTTTGGTTTTTAAGGGAGAGGGGTTTGGTCTCTTTTTGATTTGCAGGGAGAGGTTTTTGGTCTTCTTTGATTTTCAGGGAGAGGTTTTGGTCTTTTTTTGTTTTTGAGGGAGAGGGTGTCGTTCTTTTTTTTTTTTCTTTTTGAAGGAGAGTTTTTTGATTTTCAGGGAGAGGGTTTGGGCTCCTTTTGGTCTTTTTTGATTTTCAGGGAGAGGTTTTTGGTCTTCTTTTTGATTTTCAGGGCGAGGGTTTTGTCTCTTTTTGGTTTTAAGGGAGAGGGCGTTGGCATTGTTTTTGATTTCAGGGAGAGGTTTTTGGTCTCTTTTTGGTTTTCAGGGACAGGGTTTTGTCTTTTTTGATTTTCATGGAGCGGGTGTTGGTGTCTTTTTGGTTTTCAGAGACAGGTTTCTTTGTTTGATTTTCAGGGAGAGGGTTTTGATTTGTTTTGACTTTTAGGGAGAGGGTTTTGGTCTCTTGTTTGATTTTCAGGCAGCGGGTTTTGTCTTTTTTTGATTTTCAGGGAGAGTTTGTCTTTTGAGTTTGGGTCTTTTTATGATTTTTACGGAGTGGTTTTTGGTCTCTTTTATTTTCAGGGAGGGGGTTTTGGTCTTCCTGTCTAATTTATGAGTTTTCCTCTTCTTCGTTCCTCCGCTTTTTTCTGTGAGGGAGAGGTTTTTGGTCTTCCTGTCCCGTAGCGCGGGCACTTAAATAGAGATGCTGATTCTGTCAATCTGCGTTTCTTCCTTTCTTGTTCGTTCCTCCGCTTTTCCCTGAAAGCGGACGGACGCCAAAGTCATTGGTTTTGGCGTTTCTTTAGTTGAAGACGGCCTTTCCAATGACTTTCCAATGCCGGGCTGGCTTGTTGCTAGTTGTTCCCCCAGCCCTGGCAATTCAGGTCCGAACAAGCACCCGGAAATCGTTGTTTTTACATCTCTCCTTCCTTCTTGGATCCTTCCGCACTTGCCGCCCACGGTATCCTTCAAGGTGCCATGCCAACGGCCACGTCTTTTTGACCAAACCAAAGTGGTTTCAACCGCCGCTTTTCCTATATCTCACACACGACCGAGAGTTCTCTTTGAGGATGCCCCCTTTGAAGTAGGTTTGGTTCCCCCATTGAGAGTCAGACCCACCCGTGAGTATTTTAAGATTGAGTTTCCTTTTGGTTTCCCGCCATCCAAAAAGGCTTCCCATATCTACAGATCCAACTCAAAGTGCTTGTATTTCGAGTTTCAGACCAAGACGAAAACGATTCCCAAAAGATCCCACAAGTTTGAATTGTCAGCTGTTTCGAGCCCTTTTCTTCCCCCCAAAGAAGAAACATATGCATAAAATAAGAAGAAGGCATCAGTTTCCCATACGGTTTCCCGAACCGACCCCAAGACTCACCAAAAGAGAAAGGGCACCCACAAAAAAGTGGTACCCCTAAACCCCCGCAGCATATATTTACATGGGCACCCACCAAAACGAGTGGTACCCACAACACCCAGCAATAAGGATTTCTTCTTTTTTGACTTTGAGGGAGAGGAGTTCTTTTTTGATTTGCAGGCAGAGGGGTTTGGTTTCTTTTTGGTTTTCTTGGGCCTACAAGTTTTTTTTTTTTTTTTAGGCACCCTCCCACCAGCTAACATGGGTTTGTGCACAGACCTAGCAAGACTACTTTCCTCTTGGTTGGCCTTCGCAAACCCATGTTAGTTGGTAGGGGTACCAAAGAGCTCGACCGCAAGAAACCGACCCAGTCGGCCCCGCTCGCGCGTCTGCGCGCACGGCGGCCGAGGCTTGGGCGCGGCAGAGCTGCTGAAGGAGAAGTGCCCGCCGCCGCCGGCGTGGTGGCTCACCACCCTGGAAGAGGCGCAGCGCCGCTGCTCTCGGTGTTGGTGGGGGGGAGTTAGAGGGGTTGGGTGACCCGAAAGAAAAAGGAAAAGCAAGAAAAACAAAGAAAAAGACCGAAGGCTCTGTGTTTTTTTTGGGCGGGGAGGGGGGGGGTTGTTATAGGGGTTTTAGGTCCTTCTTGCCTCTTGTCTTTTTAATGTGGTTTCTGGGGTTTTAGGTATTGATGTTCTTGGGTTATGTATGGGGTTTCTGGGGGTCTTGCAGGGGTTTAATGGTGTTTTTGTTGGGGGTTTGTGCATGGGGGTTATGGGTTTTGTAAGGGGGTTTTGGGGTTTTGTTTCTTTTTGTGGTGTTTTGAGCTTTTCGGAGTCTTTGGATTTGCTGTATTTTTTAGGGCTTATGGGGTCTGATGGGGCTTGCGTTTTTTTGTTTTGTTTTGTTTCTCATTGTTTTCCCGGTTGAAGTAGATGTTCTATGTTTTAAAGAATTGGAGGACCCCTTTTGAATGGTTCAAGAGAAGCCAGAAGGAAAATTGCCAGATACTTCAAAAGGTGGTGCAACCACATTCAGGGCATCCCGAACTGGAACAGAAAGTTGCACTCCTGCTCCTCCTGCTCCTCCTATTCTGACATTCGAAGTGGATCCAGGGTCAGGAAGACGTGCAACAGAAAGCAGACATCTTATGGGTAAAACCCACCCAGAGGGGTTCGGTGTGGGAGTGGGGGGGCGCGTTATTCGGTGCGCGCCGCTTTTGGCGCGAAGGGTTTCTTCGTGAAACAAGTCTTCGTGGAGATCAAAGATACCTCATGAGTCACAATCGGCACTTGGGATCTTTGAGTTCCTTAGCTTACCGATCCTTGCAACGGTGCACTGTGAAACGGCGCAAACAAATCGGGCTAGGCTGAATTCATCTCGCTTTGGGGATTGCTATCAGGTGGCTCACCCATCCAGATGGGTTTTCTTTCTCCATGTTTCATCTAGTTTCCTCGCTTTCAGGGATGTCGAAAAAGGCTCGAACAAAGTGAGCTGAGGGCCTGACTGGGCCAAGCCTGGAAGTGTCACCCAGCCGCTTCAGCCTGGGCAAGGGGATGAGTCAGAAGGGCAAGGTTTGAGCCAAACAACGAGATCGATACACGCGGTTTCTTTTTCTGTGCGGGTTTTGTTTTTGAGGCTACTTTTGGGTCAGGTTGGTTTAAAAGGGCAAAGGAAAGCCACCATTCTCGGGGTCCCCCTACGAAGACAGAAGCCCAAATGTCCTTGCGCATACTGTCCATCTTTCCCTTTTGACTCAGTGTACCGCTTCTGTGAAATTTTTGCCCCACGCCTGAAAATGCATTCTCCCATGGGCCCGGGAGATGAGTGTGTCACAAGCTGAACCGTTCTGCTTGCGCAGGAAGACTGGCCTGGTTCGGGCGCTCCGGCGGCATTTTTTTCTTCATCAGCCGCAAAGGGGCCTCACACCTCTTTCCTGAGCCCCAGATGACAACCACCGACCAATGTCCCGTGCGCTTTGCGCGGCTGGGATGGGCGAAGTTCAAGGGGCTCGAGATCTCTCTTAGGATTTGCGCTGGTCGACATTTGCGCACTCACTGCGCAGATGCTGGAAGGCGTGCGGAAGTTTGCTTGGAAAGGTTTGAAGCCACAAGACACGGTACTTAACCGGATCCGGATCTCTTGGCTACTGAACCAGACGTTGTTGGTAAGTCAAGCTGCGTCATACGTTGAGACAATCCAGACATACTGGGGATGGAAAAGAAACCTTCACGACTTTGAAACCATGGTTGAAACCATTTGTTTGTTGGTATTTACGTTGGGGAATCGAATCAGAAACCAGGGCTTCTGACAGGTGGTGCGACATGATTTTCGCAACCATCCACAGAAGTTCTGGCCGTGCTGCATGCGCAACTTGATCCGGGGTCCTTTTGCCAGGCGCATCTGCAGACTTTGAGCAGTGTCGAGGTGTCAACATGGCAGTCGCAGGCACCTCAGGTTATATGGCTGTGGTTGTCAAAACCAATGGTACCATTTTGGGGTAGGTGAATTCCCCACCGATTTTAGTCTATTTTAGTGGGGATCTGGGGGTACGGGCTTTTGACCCATGGCCATGGCCATATGGTTATCTCGGCTTTTTGTTTTCTCGTAGCCCCAATCCTTTTGGGTTCGCTTGAAAGTGAAACCGAAGCGAACCCCGCCATCTTCAGGGCCTGATTTTGAGAAGAGTGCCGTCAAGAACTTGTTGGGAAACGCTTCAGAGCTGGCGAGCAAAGCTAGCTTCGCGAGCGTTTCTTCAAAGCACGGCGATTCAGGTCATTGACCTGGGGTCTGCTGCTTCGATTAATTGGGAGGTCATCACCATGGATGCGGCAAAGGACTGGGGCCGGTTGCCACATCTGAGTTCAGTGCAGTCAAAGCCACTCTTCAGTAGCGCCTTGCTGCTTTTACTTTTTCCGGCCCCAGTGACGCTTTTTTTAAAAGGTTTTCTGGCTTGGTTTGGATTGGTTAAGGGGCGTTGAAGCGGTGGTTTCGGGGTGTTAAGGGGTTAAGGGGTAGTTAAGGGGTGGTTAAGGGGCGGTTTTCCATCTACCCTCTACAAGGTCGGCCCCAGCGCGTTTTTCGTTTTCTGGGTTGGTTTGGAGCCCGGTGGTTTGGTGGATGGTTGGGTGGTTTCCCATCTACCCGCTAAACAAAAACCAAAAGTTCAATCCCCAAATCAATCCAAACCACCAACTCAGGAATTCAATTAAACCACCGAGGGAAGCTGATCAAAGAGGTTTGGATTGGTTAAGGGGTGGTTAAGGGGTGGTTTCCCATCTACCCTCTACAAAAAAGCCAGGGGTTGAATCCCCAATCAATCCAAACCACCAACTAAGGGGTTCAATCAAACCACCAACTACAAAAAGCAAACCTGATCAAAGACTTGAGCCACCACAACCTGATCAAAGACTTGAGCCACCAAAGAAAGCTGATCAAAGCCTTGACCCCAACAAACCTTTCTTTGCAAATGTTGGAACATGTGGACACATGGCTTGCGTGAGAAATGCTTGACCAAAATGCTTTGAGGTTGAAAAAGGGGTTTCTTTGGATTGAAAGTTCCAAAATGGAAACTCGAAAATGGAAGTCCCCGGCACCCAAATCAATGCTCGGGGTTTGGAGAGACGCAGGGTGCTTTCTTCTCGTGTTCCGTTGGTCAGCCTGCTTCAGGAGGACATCCCCGCCGCGCTGGCGGTGCTGAAGGCGCGGCGCCGCCGCTCCCGGAGGTCCACTTCGCTGGAGGAGACCCCTGAAGGCGAGAGGGAGCCGACGAGTCCGTGCGCAAGCCATGCGGTTCCTTAGGTTTTTTTTGGTTTGGTTTGGTTTGGTTTGGTTTGGTTTGGTTTGGTTTGGTTTGGTTTGGTTTGGTTTGGTTTGGTTTGGTTTGGTTGGTTGGTTGGTTGGTTGGTTGGTTGGTTGGTTGGTTGGTTGGTTGGTTGGTTGGTTGGTTTGGTTCGCCATCTTTCTTTGGATCATTCAAGGATCTTTTTGCTGGTTTCCATTGAACTCACCAGTTAAACTTGCAGGGGATCTGAGGACAGGAGGCCTTGCGAGGGCCGCAGGGCCGGATTTCAGCGTGAGTTCCGGTGGCCGGCCAGGAGGATTTGCTCCCAACTTCCATGGCCCAGGTGTGATACGTCCGAGCAAGACCTGGTGCAATGAAGCTGGAGATTCACGAATGAAGAGCCAGCTGGATGGTTTATCTCGGGGCCTGAGCACCAGCAAGTTGTTTCGAGTTCCCCCCAAAGCATGGGGGGGGGGGGTTGTTGAAAAGGAAATTCACGGGAAAGAAGCGGGCCCCAGTTGCGAGGGTTTCACCACTGGGTGTATGTGTGGTTTGAGAGGGGTTGTTCCTCCCCAAATTTTGGAAAGAAGCACTGGTGGGTCCGGTGGATTGGTGTCGGAAGATGCGGCCAGAGCTACGGCAGGATGTGATAGAGCTGGGGTTGATGAGTTTCACCATCGGCGTAGTTGTCAAACTGTTCGAGTCCTTGGCTTGTTTGGTTTTGCTTTATATGTCTAACAAATCGTCACAAAAATGCGAGGCTTGGGGAACGTTGTACAAGCTTTAATTGGAGATTGGTGGACACCCTCTAATGTTGCCCGGATTAGTAAACCCTGTGTACTAATATGGGGGTGTCCCTGGTTTTAGTGGGGATTTTTTGCTTTTGGAGGGGAACACCCCCATGTTAATAAACAGGGGTTTCTTAATCCAGGCTCAACATTAGGGTGAGTTTCTTGAGCTGAGCTCCTAGCCAGCCCTGTCTCGCGCCAGACTCCTCCCGTTTTCCATCGCTGCCCTTTGCCGCAGACGTGCTGCCGCAGGCGCGGCCTGGTGCGGTTGCTTGCGCCAATTGCGGCCTCGGCTGAAAACCGATTCGGGTAGATGACTCGGTTACGGGACAATCCCCTCGCCATGAATGGCCGCGGATCTCCGCCTTCTTAGTTCTTGAAGCCTGGTTCTGGGATAACGACCATTTTGATACCGGGTTTGATTCTCAGCTGAGTCCCCCTCGGCCCAGGATGGCGCAAGGGCAACCAGCTCGAAGGTGCAGTGGCCGTCCCCGACTCCGCAACACAAGTGGCTTGGGGTGAAGTCCAACGTTGGCGAGTGATTGACTCGACGGGGGGTGATGCATGTGGGGTGGTTTGACGTCAGCTTGCGAGTAGAAGCATGTTTGACTAATTCACATCGACACGCTGATGATGTGAGGAATTGTAAAGCTGCCAAGATCATTCGTGTGTGATCAACATGCCAAGGTCTCCAGTCGAGTCGCCGAAGGATAGCCGCTTCAATGAGCAGCTTGGTACCTAACTCGTGTGCAGGTGGCTTTTGCAGATCTTTTGCTCTTTTGGAGCCGGGAATCCAGGGCCTAGCTGAGGGTTGCCGCGTGCTGTTTTCCAACACGACGAACGTGCCCCTGCCCATCCTGCCGTGAATGTGAGTATAGACTGACAGAGGCAGTTCTCATAAATTTCAGGGAATTCTTGCAAGCAATATCGCTGGGGGGTTAAGCTCAAATCGAATTCCAAGATCTTTGCTCGCTTTGGAGCGAAAGATAAGGTCAGAGTCGCGTCGCAAAGCAATCCGGAAGCAGGACAAATACAAACCCAAAACCCAACCGCAATCGCTTCTAAACCTACAGACCCCCAACCAACCAACTCCAAATCAACCCGAAACCAAGCATAATCCGAGCATATCCAACCACAAACAACCAAGGTTGGTTGAGCAGATGATGACTGAATTGTGGGAAGCCTGTCAACAAGGGCCCCAAGATGACCATCAGTTCACTGGGGCATACAATCAGACTTTGAAAGCGGCGTACTACTTCTTCCACTAACATAGCATGTGTGGGAGGGTACCTGGAAAATCAATTTCCTCTTCAAGGGACCCTGTGTCAGGTGCCATGGGTACTAATCCAAAACGCACCACGACCTAACCAGTCTCAAGTCAAACCCACTTACTTTCGGCTTCCGCTGATCCTTCCTGTAGCTCAGTCAAGGGGCTTACAAGGGGATTTTGGGGCCATTTTCGGGGTATCTTGGGCCCCTAGGTCAACCTAAAGCCAGCCAAATTCGAGCGCGTTTTCATCGAAAGTCTGACCCACCGCACATTAACCGTGCGTAGCAAGGCCTTTGCCCACCTGGAAGAAGCACAACAGGTTCTTCGCGAACTAGGTCCCCCAGTAGTGCCCTTTTACCGTTTCTTTGTTTGGGGGAGAGCAAGCCCCCACTAAAATAGACTACGGGAAAAAAGGATACCCTTGTTCTAACCTCTCTACTGGAGGACCTAGCGAAGCTTTGCCATCTCCTGCCAACAGAAAGGTCTGGCTGCATCCATCCACCCAGATAAAATAGGAAAAGACCAGCGCGCCTAATGACTGGGGCATTTGGGACAGCTGGGGCGGCTGGGACGGCTATGGCCCGGTATTGTCGGGATGACGATCAGAGAATCGCTAGCAGTTGAGCTTCAATTTTGTCCGTTTTGATAACTCAGATTCCGCGATTCAAGCGAGTCTCTGCCTGTTTGATCAAGTGCTTTGTTTTGTACGTGATGTGTGGTTGAACCCATGTGTTTGTGATGCGTCTCTCGTGGTTTCTGATGTGTGGTTTCTGAATCGACATGTGCAAGCAGAGTTAATATGGTACGCGATTTGATTTGTTGGCTACCATCCATTGAGGACCTGATGCACTTCTGTCACTCAACATTTTCTTGCGCTCCGATGTTCTGTTGTGTTTTGTTCTGCATGGTTTGCCAGTGTTGTTTGTCCGTCAATCCTTTGCTGTCATGTAGGGGTCCTGTCCGACCACACGCTTTTTCGGTGACGTCTGCCCAGATATCCCTTCGTCACCGACATCTTTGACTATTTCGGGTGCTGCACCCGCCGCAGATGGGAGCACCATTGAGGCATCGCACGCTTCGAATGTGCGATCGATCGGCTTTCCCGGACTCACCTTGCGATCCGCTTTTCAAAGCGAGGCTCTTTGCGACCCAGCCAATATTTTTCTCTGACCGGCGTGCTCGGTGTGTTGTGCATGTTGGTCATTTTACCCTGCAAGAGTGAGGCTTGGAGACGGTCTGATTCCAAGCCTGTGCAAGCCCACAGCGCTTCAAAACGCGCCGTAGGGTGGATGAGTCTCACAGGCGTTGAGTTTGCTTCGTTGCAGCAGAGACTGCACAAGTTGATTGATTTCAATGCCTTGGCATCTGGGGCTCAGAGCATTCTAGGAGCAGTGAATTCATTTTGAATTGTAGCACCTTCACACATGAAGCCCGAGGTTTTCGAGTTTTCGGGACGACCCCTGACAGCAGATTTGATGACTTTGTGCCCATCTGGCCTGGGAGAATGATGCGCTGGGCGAGGTTTGCGCGCCATTCCATCGTCTTGTGCCGCGGCCGGGGTTCAGATGCCAACGGGGACAAAACGGCAAGCAGGTTTGAAAGGCAGGCACACTGGCTTGCATGACTCCTGGGCCGTTCGGGCCTGTGGCATGAGTCTTCTTAATGGGGTGCAAGTGCACAAGACACGGTAGGTCGGCATCCTTGGTGTTCTTCATGTCACTCCTTCATGGATGTCACAACTCGAACAATGTCATTGCTTATGACCAACCAGGATGCCGGTGCAGATCCACTGAGCTAGATGTGAGTCATGGCAATGGTCAATGTCCAGGGAGGCTGAAAAAGTGGAGCCTTGCTGGTGCGCTTGTGATATCAATGGGGCACGGATGCAACCGAAGGACCAAAGGAGTCTCTTCTCGGATGTTGCTTGGATGCAAATGTCTCACAAAAACGCGGCTAGGTCGGCACCCAGGTTGCTGGGTGAATTATAACAACCTCACACGACCGAATTCACCCCAAATGGTGGTTTATGTGGGGAACATCTCTCCAACCACCTTATTTCAGGCTGGTGAAATATTATAATTCACCCAGTTCTTTGCTAGCAGAACCGCCGACTCGGCTACACCAGCGTCATTCAGCCTGACTTGCTCCCAGCTCCTCACGCTGTCAATGACCACTCCACCGCAGAACCTGCCGTTGAAACAAAGCATTGCCAGCTGAGGCACGTGGATGGTCTGGCAGGTCATGTTGTAAAGATTGGCAGAAACAGACTAGGCATGCGTTTGCAAGTTGAGACAGATTAAGGAATGCAAGTCGCCAGATGCCCAATCACTCTACCAACGCAGAACCTGCTGCTGAAGCAAAGCACATGCACTGCCAACTGAGGCACGTGGATGGTCTGGCAGGTCATGTTGTAAAGACTGGCAGAAACAGACTAGGCATGCACTTGCAAGTTGAGGAAGACAAGGAATGCAAGTTTGTAGATGTCAGTGCCGGGATGAGACATTGCCCAATCACTCTACCAACGCAGAACTTGCTGTTGAAGCAAAGCACATGCACTACCAGCTGAGGCACGTGGATGGTTTGGCAGGTAATTGTGTGAAGACTGGCGGAAATAGAGTAGACTTGCATTTGCAAGTTGAGAAAGATCAAGGAATGCAAGTTTGCACTGTTGAAGCAACTCACATGCACTACCAGCTGAGGCACGTGGATGGTTCGGCAGGTCATTTTGTGAAGACTGGCAGAAACAGACTAGGCATGCACTTGCAAGTTGAGGATATCAAGGAATGCAAGTTTGCGATGCCAGTGCCGGGATGAGACATTGCCCAATCACTCTACCAACGCAGAACCTGCTGTTGAAGCAAAACACATGCACTACCAGCTGAGGCACGTGGATGGTTTGGCAGGTTATTGTGTGAAGACTGGCGGACATAGGCTTGGCATGCACTTGCAAGTTGAGAAAGATCAAGGAATGCAAGTTTGCAGATGTCAGTTCCGTGATGAGAAGTTGCCCAATCACTCTACCAACGCAGAATCTGCTGTTGAAGCAAAACACATGCACTAATGATGGTTTGGCAGCTTATTTTGTTCAGATTGTGGGAGATAGGCATGCAGAATGTCTCGTGCTTGGAGCTGCTTGGAATCAATATTGTTTCAAGAAATATGGGCTGCAGGTTGCATGTTTCTGCAGGCATTTTGGCACCGCTAATTACCGCTTCCTGAGTGTGATCGCGCCATGGCGGCAGTTGCAGTGCCAGAGATGGAGGATCTCCGAGCACCTCAGATGATGTGCTTCCAGTGCGAGCAGACCAACGCGGGCAAGGGCTGCACGACCACGGGGGTGTGCAAGAAGTCTCCGCAGACCAGCGGCCTGCAGGACCTGACGATTCTGCATGCGTTGCGCCTGTGCCAGCTGGCCCACGCAGAGGGTGGCGCAGAGCCGGCGGTGCGGGACTTGGTCTTGGAGCCGCTGTTTGCCACCTTGACGAACGTGAACTTCGACGACGCCCGCTTCGAGCGATACCTCAAGGATTTGGCAGCCCAGATTTCCACGCTGGAGGATCGGCTGAAGACCAGCGGCCAAGAGGTGCCGGTGGCGCCCAAGGCTCTGCCAGCCAAGCTGCCGGAGACCAAGCAGGAGCTCCTGGCGGCGGCTGAGCCGGCGGGCCTGCTGGCGCGATCCGGGGAGGTGGCAAATGAGGACATCCATTTACAGAAGAACATATTTTTTTGTTCGTTCCCCTGCTGGGTTTAAAGGGAATCTATCTCTACTGGACATATTTTTATTTTTTCCAGGGGGCTTAAGCAAATGGAAGAGGACCTCTTCGGAGTCATCGAGATGTGCGCCTATGGTCTCAAGGGCACATGCGCCTACTTCTACCACGCCGAGCACCTGCTGGCGGGGGACGCCGCCTACGGCGAGGCCGAGCGGACCGAGGTCTACAAGGAGATCTTCCGTTTGGGCAACTACTTGGCGGAGGTCAACGGCTCCGCAGCCAAGGAGAATGCTTTGGGGGTGGCGCTTGGGGAGTGTCTGGCGGTGGGGGCCTTGAACCTGAAAGTCATGAAGATGTTGGACAGCGCGCACACCACCCTTTTGGGCACGCCCACGCCCGTGGAGGTGTCGCAGGAGCAGCCTGAGGGCCCCGCCATCTTGGTGAGCGGCCACGATCTGGCGGTGCTCTATCGGCTGCTGCAGCAGGCGGAGAAGCAGAAGATCAACGTGTATACCCACGGGGAGATGCTGCCGGCGCACTCCTACCCCAACCTGAAGAAGTTTGAGAACCTGAAGGGCCACTTCGGCACACACTGGGGCAACCAGCAGAAGGAGTTCCGGCACTTCCCGGGGGTCATTTTGATGACCTCCAACTGCATGATGCCTCCTGTGGGCAAGTACCGGGATCGCATCTGGACCAGCGGCCCCGTGGGCTTCGACAAGATCCCTCAGGTGGCTTCCAGTTGCTTAAGACATTTGTTTTGTGCCCCCCTGGTTTTCAAGGGAATCAATTTATTTGCTTCAGACAAATCTTTTCCCCCCGGTTTTTGTTTTCCCCTTATTGTTTTGAAGGGAATCCATGGGATGTCCTTTGTGTTTTCCAGGGGCTGCTTAAGCATATGGCAGGTGGAGGACGACTTCTCGGCGTTGATTCAGCAGGCGCTGGAGTTCAAGGACCCGGTGCCGGTGCCGCGGTCGGGCGTGATCCCGCACCGCAAGCTGCAGGTGGGCTTCGGCCACGCGGCAGCTCCTTGACGAGCGACGAGCGTTGGGTCGTGGGACCTTGGGATTTTTGGCCCCCCCAGCTTTTGTAGTTTTCGACCTGCGGTTTTTACCCGAAGCCGAGCTTTTGGCCTTTGGTTTACCATGTTTACCTTTTGGCTTCTCCATTTTGGCTTCCCATCTTTGTTAGTCCCGGGCCCGTGGTTCACTTGGGTTCCCATGATTGACCTTGGGTTTTTTCCCCATGTTTTCCCATGTCTCGTGGCCCCAGGTGGTCACCCCGTTTTTTTTCTTCCCCTTTTTTTGTTTTGTTTCTGGGCCCCCGGGTGCTGTGACCTTTTTGCCCTTCTCGAGCTTCGGTTTTGACCTCTAGACCTGGTTTTTCATTTAGGGTTCCCATCTTGGGTTCCCATTTGTCACCCCCATGTTTCCGTTTCTGGTGGCCCAAGTCCCGTTCAACGCAGAGGTGCTGGGCGTGGCGGACAAGGTGGTGGAGGCCATCCAGTCCGGGGCCCTGAAGCACGTCTTCGTCATCGGGGGCTGCGATGGCACGGAGAACTCCCGGAGCTACTTCACGGACCTGGCGGCGGACACGCCCCAGGACGTCCGGCGTTTGCTTTTTTTCTTCTTCTTCTTTTTTTTCTTTCTTTGTTTTGTTTTGGGGCCATGCTGTCCTTTTTGCTAAAGCATTTGGCTGACAGGATTTGTTTTAAACACAAACAAACAAGCTGCAGGACAGGCGGTCCGACCTGTGTTTTGTGGGGCATCTAATGTGGCGAAGCCGGGCGTTTCGCGCTACTTATCGCAGGGGACTTTTTTTTAAATATATAATTTAATATATATATATATATCCGTTGTTGGTTTTAAAGGGAATCAATCTCACTACTGGACTTGTGTTCATTTTTTCCGGTGTATTTAGCAAATGGCAGTTTTGGCTACCCCGCGCTTCCAGGCGTTTCGCCACTATAGTGGGTGACCAGGTATTGTTTCCTCTAGGTGTTACATCATTGGTTTTCCCTGGTTACCTACAAGAGTGGTAACTGGGAGCACTGGGTTAGTTTGGCTAGAAATAGATGGGCTCCAGTAGGTTAGATGGGCTTTTTCCATTTACCAATTTTACTACGGGCCATCTCTTTTTCGGGCCAAAAGTTCACCCCAGGATTCCATCATCCTCACTTTGGGCTGTGGCAAGTTCCGGCTGAACGGCCACGACCACGGCACCCTCGCAGGTCTGCCCCGGCTGCTTGACGTTGGCCAGTGCAACGACGCCTACGGCGCGGTGGTTATCGCCACCAAGCTGGCGGAGGCGCTGAAGTGCACCGTGCATGACCTGCCCCTGCACTTTGCGGTGTCCTGGTTTCTTGGCAGTTCCAGCCATGCCAGTTTCGACTCTTTAGACGATGTAGAGTTTCTGAAAGAGTCCCGACTTTGTCCCGAAAGCATTGCGAAGGGTTCTTCCGGTAAAATCGCCAGCCTTATCACACAGCCAAACTTACCCCAGCCAACTTGCACGAGCCAACTTGCGCGAGAACAACTTGCACGAATATCACAAGACATGTCGACACGAAAGTAACGAGACATCACACAACCAAACTTGCACGAGACATGTCGACACGAAAGTAACGAGATATCACACAGCCAAATATCACACAGCCAAACTTGCACGAGACATCGACACGAAAGTAATGAGTTAGTCTCTTAAGGCGGCGCGGTGGGACCGAACCGAACCCACCCTGCGAAAATGACACCCTCTGCGAAGATTGGCGTGGTGTGCAAAAACTGAGGACTTTTTACGATTTCTAAGGTGCGCGCACGACCCTCTGCGTGGTTTGGCGTGGTCGATGTGCCTGATTTGCGTTCGTGACCCTCTGCGTGGATTGGCGTGGTCGATGGGGCTGCTAAGTGTGCCTGTAAGACATCATGTGGTGGAATCATACCAGAGCAACTGGGAACGAAAGAATCCACTTCCTTCTGACCAGACGACTCAATGCAGGTGGTAGACGTGGCTCGATCAAGACCAGAGAAGGTCTTCAAAGCTTCACCATAGTAAGAAGTCTTCTGGCTCAGGCAGGGTGCTGGGAGCACCACTGCCATGCTTCCCTGGGTCGACTCGGGATTTCACAGGTGAGAAAAACCACTTGATTTGTTCATTCGGAAGGTGTGAGTTGGTAGCAGGCTTTCCGAGAGCTCACTTTCCTTCTTGTGCCGGTTTGGAGCCTTAGGCGCTGAGATCTCTGTACGTCCCTTGGTCGCTGTAGACGAGGCAGAAGCTGCAGAATCCCTATCGCTAGTCTTGTGACTGGCCTTGGTCTTTTTCAGGTTTGCCCAGAGTACTCCTTGGTGCAGGCTCTTTGTGTTTCCATTCTTTAGTACAGTGACAAATTGTACCCTTACTGTATGCCAAGGGCACACGACTATGCCGTAGCAAAAGGTGGAAGGAAATGCAAAAAGTGGGCACGTCACACAAGAACAGTGCAAAAAGCCAGAGCCATTAATGTCGCTGAAAAAAGGGAAGCACAAGCACTAGGTAGCAAATGGGTTGCAGCAGACAATCAACTATCCCTTGGCAAGCCAAGTAAAGGTTTGTGTGGAAAAGCACAAACCAAGCCCAAGGCTAATGCAAGGGATGTTCCTCATGCAAGCCTGATGGGTACAGGCACACAAGCGAGACAATGCACTCCAAGGCAAGCAATGTTCCCAAGGAGGCAACCAAAGCTGGCAGGCCCAAAAGAACAAAAGTCCCCTATTTTAGCCGTACCTAGTTACTCTTTGGACCTCCGCGTTCGGTGTTGGTGGGCCTACCACCCAACACCTACTAACTTCTTGGGCCCGCCAAGCAACTTGAGCCGATACGGCCTTGAGCCAAAATGGCTACGGACAATGCGCAAAAAACTGACGACTTTACGATGTCTGAGGTGCGTGCGCAACCCTCTGCGTGGATTGGCGTGGTCGATGTGCAAAAACTGAGGACTTTTTTTGATTTCTGATTTGCGCGCGTGACCCTCTGCGTGGATTGGCTGTGCATAAACTGAGGACTTTTCACGATTTCTGCGGTTCGTGCGTGTCAAAGCGCTCTCGCTGTGGCCCCGCGTGAGTTTTCTTAGCCTTGGCTTTTAAGAAGCCCGTGTGGAGATCGTGCGTTTCGGAGCGCTCTTGCTGTGGCACCGTGCGGTTTTCTTGTTCACGAAGATGGCCTTCGGAAGTTGTCTCGTGGTTTGCGCGCCTGCTGTTGCAATCCCGCGCGGGTTCGATTCTCCCCTGGTCCGCGGCAGCTCCGGCTCAAGAGCTTTCGCAGCAGACTTGTGCGTAGCGCTTGCGTGTCGCAACTTGCGCAGAGCGCTTGCGCACGCAGAGCAAGTTGCGCGGAAGACTTGGGCCGAGCTCTTGCGCAGGGCAACCCTTGCAGAGAGCTCGCGTTACCGAAGCTTATTGCTCACAGAAGGGCGAACATTGCAGATTTCCGCGCTGGCACACGCGCACGCACGCGCGCAAGTGCGCAGACCTCGCAGCACCGAAGCTTTTCAGTCACAAAAGCCGCAAACTTTGCACGCGCGCCACGCATGCCACACGCGCCACGCACGTCACGCACGCCACGCACGCACCGCACGCACCGCATGCACCGCACGCGCCGCACGCGCCGCACGCGCCGCACGCACCGCACGCACCGCACGCACCGCGCGCCCCCCACGCCCTGCCCCGCGCCCCCCGCCCGCCCCGCCCCGCCCGCCCCGCCCCGCGCCGCCCCGCCCGCCCGCCGCCGCGCGCCGGCGCGGCGCGGCGCGGCGCACCGCGCGGCACGGCACGGCACGGCGCGGCGCGGCACAGCGCGGCACGGCGCCGCACGCCAACGCATGCCAACGCACGGCGCCGCACGGCGCCGCACGCACGCCAACGCACACACGCCAACGCATGCACGCACGCACGCCAACGCACGCACGCCAACGCACGCACGCCAACGCACGCGCCGACACACGCACGCCAACGCACGCACGCCAACGCACGCGCGCCAACGCACGCACGCCAACGCACGCACGCCAACGCACGCGCGCCAACGCACGCACGCCAACGCACGCACGCCAACGCACGCTTGCCAACGCACGCGCGCCAGCGCACGCACGCCAACGCACGCACGCCAGTGCGCGCCACCGCACGCCACCGCACGCCACCGCACGGCGCTGCACGGCGCTGCGCGGCAGCGCACGCCACCGCATGCCGCCGCACGCCACCGCACGCCATCGCACGCCGCTTGACGGCCCCGCACGGCCCCGCACGGCGCCGCACGCGCCGCACGGCGCCGCACGGCGCGGGCGCGCGCGCGCGCGCGCGCGGGCGCGGCGCGGCGCGGTGCGGCCCGCCGGCCCGGCCTGGCCCGGCTCGCCCCGCCCCCGCCCGCCGCCACGTCACGTCACGTCACGCAGGTCACGCTCGTCACGCTCGTCGCGCGCGCGCGCCCGCGCCCGCCCGCCCGCCCGCACGCACGCACGCACGCACTCACTCACTCACTCACTCACGCACTCACCTCACCTCACCTCACCTCACCTCACCTCACCTCACCTCACCTCACCTCACCTCACCTCACCTCACCTCACCTCACCTCACCTCACCTCACCTCACCTCACCTCACCTCACCTCACCTCACCTCACGTCACTCACGCACGCACGCACGCACGCACGCACGCACGCACGCACGCAACACCAACTCTTGAGCAACCATTCAATTGGCAACCCTGCATGTCGGCTTGATTTGCTGGTCTTTGATCCGTTTCCATTATGCTTTCGGGCCACAGAGGGTTTAGTGTTTTTTCTCCGCAGAGGCATGTCTGACATAATTATCAGTATGTCCCCCCCCAGAAAAGTCCTTGCGGGATCAACGAAGGTTTGAGCAGAAGGCCGTGGCGGTGCTCCTCACTTTGCTGCACCTAAACTTGAAGAACATCCGCCTGGGCCCGGCCTTGCCGGGCTTCATCACCCCCAACGTCCTGAAGGCATAGGTGTCCTTTTGATCGGTTAGTTTGATTGAAAATAGACTCATAGATGGGCAAGCCACTGGTTTAGGTGGGGTTTCTTCATATATACCAGGGCAACCATATACCAGGGCAACCTTTGGTAAAAAACCTATAGGAAACTTATGTTAAAACACCTACGGGAAACATGTGGTAAGAAACCTATGGGAAACCTATGGTAAAAACCCATAGATAGGGAAATCCATCGATTTTTCCAAAACGGCCCCCTATGCTTCTCTCGCAGGTCCTGAACGAGAAGTTCGGCCTGAAGCCGGCGCGGCTGCACGAGGAGGATGTGGACCTTGCGGAGATGCTGAAAGGAGAGTAGATGACAGATGTGGTCGTCTGAATGGGGGACTAGATGTGGCCGAGCCGCAGAGAGCGGGCTTCTTTTGTTGTTTTTTCCGCAAGTCTCCCGAGCTTGATATCTCCGACGCCCAGCCACCAGAGCCAGGGGCGTTTCGTGCTAAACAAGCTCCATCTGGAGAGTGCTCGAAGAGCCTTTTCGGATGCAGGGGGGGGCGTTTAAACAAGCTCCACCGGCAGGGCGCTCAGAGAGCCCCGTGGTGGTAGACGATGAGCCCAAATTCATGGAAGACTAGCATCTTATAGGGGCATAGACGTTGTGGAAGTTCCTGATTTGGAGCAAACAAGACAAGTGCTCGCTTTAGGTACTCGTATCTATCTATCTATCTATCTATCTATCCATCCATCCATCCATCTATGTATCTATCTATCTATCTATCTACCTATTTGTCTCTCTGTCTGGCTGTCTGTCTGTCTGTCTGGCTGCCTGCCTGCCTGCCTGCCTGCTTGCCTGCCTGCCTGCCTGACTGTCTGTCTGTCTCTCTGGCTCTCTCTCTCTTTCTGTCTGTCTTTCTCTGTCTTCTCTGTCTTCTTCTCTGCCTGCTCTGCCTTCTCTGCCTTCTCTGTCTTCCCTGTCTTCTTCTTCTCTGCCCGCTCTACCTTCTCTGTCTTCTGTGTCTTCTCTGTCTGTCTGTGTCTGTCCGTGTCTGTCTGAGTCTGTCTGTGTCTGCCTGCCTGCCTGGCTGCCTCCCTGTTTGTCTATCTACATATTTAAGTAAATATACATATATATATATATATACACACGTATATACATGTGGCAGATTACTCCGTGCGCATGAAGGACCAAGACCGCGTACATAGGGTAACCTGCCAGCGCGCAGCAGCGGAAGGCCCGCCACTTGATGGTGCCTGCCTTCTCTTTCGGGGTCAAGCTAGTCATATACATCGAAGATGAGTGCCCTATGACTGTGTAGCCGAACGTAACTTTGTGTTTGTTTACTCGGGTATCCGAGCATTGCTTTGTCCGTGAGCTGCAAGTATCGCTAGGACCGTTCGTTCAGCTTGAAGGTCGAAGAAACCATTTGCAAGTTGAGAAAGATCCAGGAATGCAAGTTTGCAAATGTCAGTGCCGGATTGAGACATTGCCGAAACACTCTACCAACGCAGAACCTGCTGTTGAAGCGAAGCACATGCACGACCAGCTGAGGCACGTGGATGGTTTGGCAGGTCATTATGTGAAGACTGGCGCAAATAGACTAGGCACGCATTTGCAAGTTGAGAAAGACAAGGAATGCAAGTTTGCAGATGCCAGTGCCGGGATGAGACATTGCCCAATCACTCTACCAACGCAGAACCTGCTGTTGAAGCAACGCACATGCACTACCAGCTGAGGCACGTGGATGGTTTGGCAGGTAATTGTGTGAAGACTGGCAGACATAGGCTTGGCATGCATTTGCAAGTTGAGAAAGATCAGGGAAGATCAAGGAATGCAAGTATGCAGATGCCGGGATGAGACATTGCCCAATCACTCTACCAACGCAGAACCTGCTGTTGAAGCAAAGCACATGCACTACCATCTGAGGCACGTGGATGGTTTGGCAGGTCATTGTGTGGAGACTGTCGGACATAGACTAGGCATGCATTTGCAAGTTGAAAAAGATCAAGGAATGCAAGTATGCAGATGCCAGTGCCGGGATGAGACATTGCCCAATCACTCTACCAACGCAGAACCTGCTGTTGAAGCAAAGCACATGCACTACCAGCTGAGGCACGTGGATGGTTTGGCAGGTAATTGTGTGAAGACTGGCAGACATAGGCTTGGCATGCATTTGCAAGTTGAGAAAGATCAGGGAAGATCAAGGAATGCAAGTATGCAGATGCCGGGATGAGACATTGCCCAATCACTCTACCAACGCAGAACCTGCTGTTGAAGCAAAGCACATGCACTACCAGCTGAGGCACGTGGATGGTTTGGCAGGTAATTGTGTGAAGACTGGCAGACATAGGCTTGGCATGCATTTGCAAGTTGAGAAAGATCAAGGAATGCAAGTATGCAGATGCCAGTGCCGGGATGAGGCATTGCCCAATCACTCTACCAACGCAGAACCTGCTGTTGAAGCAAAGCACATGCACTTCCAGCTGAGGCACGTGGATGGTTTGGCAGGTAATTGTGTGAAGACTGGCAGACATAGGCTTGGCATGCATTTGCAAGTTGAGAAAGATCAGGGAAGATCAAGGAATGCAAGTATGCAGATGCCGGGATGAGACATTGCCGAATCACTCTACCAACGCAGAACCTGCTGTTGAAGCAAAGCACATGCACTACCAGCTGAGGCACGTGGATGGTTTGGCAGGTCATTGTGTGAAGACTGGTGGACGTAGGCTTGGCAGGCAATTGCAAGTGGAGAAAGACAAGGAATGCAAGTTTGCAGATGCCAGTGCCAGGATGAGACATTGCCCAATCACTCTACCAACGCAGAACCTGCTGTTGAAGCAAAGCACATGCACTACCAGCTGAGGCACGTGGATGGTTTGGCAGTTACTGTGTGAAGACTGTCGGACATAGACTAGGCATGCATTCGCAAGTTGAGAAAGATGAGGGAAGACGAAGGAATGCAAGTTTGCAGATGCCAGTGCCGGGATGAGACATTGCCCAATCACTCTACCAACGCAGAACCTGCTGTTGAAGCAAAGCACATGCACTACCAGCTGAGGCACGTGGATGGTTTGGCAGGTCATTTTGCGAAGACTGGCGGACGTAGACTAGGCATGCATTTGCAAGTTGAGAAAGATCAGGGAAGACCAAGGAATGCAAGTTTGCAGATGTCAGTGCCGGGATGAGACATTGCCCAATCACTCTACCAACGCAGAACCTGCTGTTGAAGCAAAGCACATGCACTACCAGCTGAGGCACTTGGATGGTTTGGCAGGTCATTTTGCGAAAACTAGTGGACGTAGGCTTGGCAAGCAATTGGAAGTGGAGAACGACCAAGGAATGCAAGTTTGCAGATGTTATTGGTGGGATGAGACATTGCCCAATCACTCTACCAACGCAGAACCTGCTGTTGAAGAACAACACATGCACTAACAGCTGAGGCACGTGGATGGTTTGGCAGGTCATTTTGTGAAGACTGGCGGACGTAGACTAGGCATGCATTTGCAAGTTGAGAAAGATCAGGGAAGACCAAGGAATGCAAGTTTGCATATATCAGTGCCGGGATAAGACATTGCCCAATCACTCTACCAACGCAGAACCTGCTGTTGAAGCAAAGCACATGCACTACCAGCTGAGGCACGTGGATGGATTGGCAGGTCATTTTGCGAAGACTGGCGGACATAGACTAGGCATGCATTTGCAAGTTGAGAAAGATGAGGGAAGACCAACGAATGCAAACTTTCATATGTCAGTGCCGGGATGAGACATTGCCCAATCACTCTACCAACGCAGAACCTGCTGTTGAAGCAAAGCACATGCACTTCCAGCTGAGGCACGTGGATGGTTTGGCAGGTCATTGTGTGAAGACTGGCGGACATGGACTAGGCATGCCTTTGGCTGTTGAGAAAGATCAAGGAATGCAAGTTTGCATATGTCAGTGCCCACAGCGCAGAACCTGCTGTTGCATCAAAGCACATGCACTACCAGTTGAGGCACGTGGATGGTTTGGCAGGTCATTGTGTGAAGACTGGTGGACGTAGCATTTGCAAGTTGAGAAAGATGAAGGAATGCAAGTTTGCAGATGCCAGTGCCGGGATGTGACATTGGAAGACCAAGGAATGCAAGGTTGCAGATGCCAGTGCAGGGATGAGACATTGCCCAATCACTCTACCAACGCAGAACCTGCTGTTGAAGCAAAGCACATGCACTACCAGCTGAGGCACGTGGATGGTTTGGCAGGTCATTTTGCGAAGACTGGCGGACGTAGACTAGGCATGCATTTGCAAGTTGAGAAAGATGAGGGAAGACCAAGGAATGCAAGTTTGCAGATGCCAGTGCCGGGATGAGACATTGCCCAATCACTCTACCAACGCAGAACCTGCTGTTGAAGCAAAGCACATGCACTACCAGCTGAGGCACGTGGATGGTTTGGCAGGTCATTGTGTAAAGACTGGCGAACATGGACTAGGCATGCCTTCGGCTGTTGAGAAAGATCAAGGAGTGCAAGTTTGCATATGTGTGTGCTGGGATGAGACATTGTCCACAACGCAGAACCTGGTGTTGCATCAAAGCACATGCACTACCAGTTGAGGCACGTGGATGGTTTGGCAGGTCATTGTGTGAAGACTCGTGGACGTAGCATTTGCAAGTTGAGAAAGATGAAGGAATGCAAGTTTGCAGATGCCAGTGCCGGGATGTGACATTGCCGAGTTGAGAATGATCAAGGAATGCAAGTTTGCAGATGCCAGTGCCGGGATAAGACATTGCCCAATCACTCTACCAACGCAGAACCTGCTGTTGAAGCAAAGCACATGCACTACCAGCTGAGGCACGTGGATGGTTTGGCAGGTCATTGTGTAAAGACTGTCTAACGTAGACTAGGTATACATTTGCAAGTTGAGAAAGATGAGGGAAGACGAAGGAATGCAAGTTTGCAGATGCCAGTGCCGGGATGAGACATTGCCCAATCACTCTACCAACGCAGAACCTGCTGTTGAAGCAAAGCACATGAACTACCAGCTGAGGCACGTGGATGGTTTGGCAGGTCATTTTGCGAAGACTGGCGGACGTAGACTGGGCATGCATTTGCAAGTTGAGAAAGATGAGGGAAGACCAAGGAATGCAAGTTTGCATATGTCATTGCCGGGATGAGACATTGCCCAATCACTCTACCAACGGAGAACCTGCTGTTGAAGCAAAGCACATGCACTACCAGCTGAGGCACGTGGATGGTTTGGCAGGTCATTTTGCGAAGACTGGCGGACGTAGACTAGGCATGCATTTGCAAGTTGAGAAAGATCAGGGAAGACCAAGGAATGCAAGTTTGCAGATGCCAGTGCCGGGATGAGACATTGCCCAATCACTCTACCAACGCAGAACCTGCTGTTCAAGCACAGCACTACCAGCTGTGGCAGGTGGATGGTCTGGACATGGCTTTCGTTTTTTGTTTTTTTTTGTAAGTGCGAGTTCTTGTGATCCGAGCAATCGCAGGAGATCTGGTTTGCTTCAGTCAACCTAGGTGGCGCCGCTGTACAGCAGACCAGGGTCACACCTAGCATTGCTCACATCAGAGATGATGCATTGAAGATTGGCCACACCCATCACAGAAAGCTGGTCTTCCTGCAAGGCTTGTCAAAAGTCAGGATGTCCCTTCGCGACCTCGGCCGGAAAGCCTTCGCATTT